TCGAACTATTGTGCTCAGCCATAACTTGGGTAAGAGCTCAGTTTCCTTTCATTTCAGAGCGAGTGCTTGTGACTTTGCGTTGAGCAAATTTCCATACAACGGGTAAACTGCTTCAAGTCTCGTGCCATCCTGAATTTACTCATTCGTAATGCACCATTATAAATCGATATACTTTCAGTAGCTTCTGCATTTCAGCGATCGCCCATAACTTAGCTTTGCTTTAATTATCGTAATGATCATTATTTGTTACAAGGTTAGGTTAAACAAGGCACCGTAGTTAAATTTTACGTGATCGATATTTTGAGGGAAAATACCGCATATTTGGCTTGCATGCTTGGCACGTAAATTATCGTCGGGATTGTTTACTTCTCGCTGTATGCGTGCGACGGGCAAACAAAGTGAAAATGCAAAACAAGAAGTCTTTGATTTAACGAGCCTGCTGACGTACACGAGTTATTTTCATTTAATTCAGCTGCCGGTGAAGACCTCGTTAAAAAGTGGTCGGGAAATGGCTGGCTACAAAACACTGTATTACTTGGACGCTAAAAGTACTTCTTGAAAAGCTAAGTTATATAGAATTCACTATCCCTCATCTATTTTCCTGCCCGCAATGACAAGAACTAGTTTAAGTCGCGCTCCACCTGAATTTACTTATGCATATCATTCATAGTCTATGTATACAGTTTCAGTAATTTTAATGGTCACCGTAACTTAGCTTTGCTTCAATTATCATTATTTTTAAAGCAACCAGTTATATTTCAATATCTGGGTAACTGTCTCTGATGATGATGATGGTGACCGTATCGTTCTTTCCAATCCCGAAAAACTTTGCTTATGTTATTGTATATTTTTATTATTGCAGTGCCAGCAAAGAAAATTTTTCTCTATGTCTTATATATTTCAATGTATTTCTTGAATCGTAGATGAATTGAATTGCGGTCATTATTTTGGGGGAAAATGCCGCATTTTTGTCTTACATACTTGGCACATAAATTGCCGTCGGGGTTGTTTACCTCTCGCTGTATGCGCGCGGCGGATAAACAAAAGGATTATCCAAAACAAAAAGTCTTTGATTTAACGAGATCGCTGATGCACATGCTGAGTTATTTTTATTTAATTCAGCTACCAGTGAACTCGGTTTGGCATGTTTTCATCGGTATTGGAGTTTCATTTTAAAAACGAGTTCTTCAGAGTCAGAATTCCAAAATTATGTCTTTGAAACCGCCATAATTTATAAATTTCTCATGAAAATTCAAAAAGCATGACGTTGACCACGTATCCTTAATAGTCACTTGAATATGGGGTTTGCATGCATCGGCGTTTTCGTGGTCGAAACTTGGTTTTTCTCTGGAATTTGGAAGCCGTAGTCAAAGTTTTTATCAAGCAGAAGCCCTGCGTTGGTTTGCACGCTCGAATTCCGTGGTTTTTTTTGGCGTGTTCTGGACTTTTCGCGTCCGTGGGGTGATTCACGTAACCGCTGGTCGGTTACGGCTTCCACCTCCATCAAGTCCAAATAACTGTCTAACTAATCCGATACCTGACATGGACTGGTAACCGGATGATGGGCCTTGGTTCACCATATGTTACGCGGCGCGGCTAGGCTCATCGTGCCAAGCGTAAGGAATACGCTGCCACCGTACCTCTGATTACTCTGCGAATCCCACGCAGGGATGGTTATGTGCGAGAGGATCGCTGGACTCCTCGCCGTCGTTGGGTGGTTCACATAACAGCTGGGCGGTTAAGGCTTCCTCCACTACCAAGTCCATGCTTCCGAAAACAAATAACTAACAAATCCCATACCCGACTTGGAATGGTAACCGGACGAGAGGCCGTGGTTCACCATATGATTAAGCCGTCTTTCCTCTCACCCGGGATAAATATGTAAATCCTATCCTATCGGCTTTCTTCTACCCCAGGATAAAAATTTAAATACTTATTCATCTATTTTTGAACGACTTTGGGACCTGGGGTAAGTTTACCCCCACACCAGTCTTTGAGCTACTATTAGGGCTGGGCATTTTCGAATACCTTGTGATTTCAGAATCAAATAGAATAATTTTTTCAAATCGAATCTCAAAGACTTGAAAATATATAATTGTAAGCGACTTTTTTTATAGTAATTGGTCCTCTCAACAAATGAATTATACTGAAGACGTAGAATAAATCACTCAGATAGATTACTAAGCGTTCACACAGAACAACAAACACGTTTTATCAATAACTCACTACAGAATATGTTAGAATTTCGTTGAAAAAATATGACTCCAATGAAAAAAAAATCGGGGAATTTACCTCGACCATTAGCGGAAAGATAAAAACAAGATGGCGGCGATTCAAAATTTAGCTCTGAACCTATTCGAATAATTTACTATTCGATTCGAAATGCCAGTCCCTAGATACTATTGAAACGATCGGAAAATCATCTTATGATAGTAAACTACAAAAAAACAATTGATTTATCATTGAACTAATATATTATTCTAAAACAGTGTAATTTACATAAATTTTTCACAACACAAATCAAACAACAACAGCAAAGAATCAAACGAAAGTATTGTTTCCTGTACAAGGCGTCCTGCTATTTCTTCATCACTAATTTTATATATATTTTTTCAATTTCACTTTTCTGAAGTTAGGATTTGTCTCACCCTTGGTTAGGTTATTGCCACATTTCCAATATTTTGTTTTAATCCTATTTTGGTGGTGGCGTGCAAACTCTGGCCAAATATGGACAGAGAGATAGTAGATAAAAAAAATATCAGGATGGTACTAAAGATATTTGAGGCAGAGATATCAACTAGTTCAATTACAAAAAAGTAATGCAAATTCCGGAGAGTATTTTTTGAAGAAACTGACGACTAAAATTACCAGGATCGTGTCCCGGAATTTTCAAAAAGGGGGGTTCTTAAATCTCTAATTGTCAAGTTAGGTCGTATCTCAGTTAGCGGGTCCTGTCATAGTTCGAAAAAAGTGAATTTTTGAATCTTGAGGGTCTAAATAGCGTTTAAGCTACAGAATAATGAATATTGGAGGGGGGGGGGGCGACCACTCAAACCCCCCATCCACTGGCTATGCCCCTGTAAATTTCTGTTTCTGAAATTCTTTTGATAATCATGGATATATCAAATCTTTGGAGTAAAGTTTGCATACATTTGATTACGCTGGAAATATGACAATTTAGATTGTGGAGAATTTGAAGTTGAATTATTTCTTAACTAAGAGTACAGTATAACGGACTATTAGAATAAAGAGCAGTACTAATGCATGGCAGAGAATAGCAGTTTTCAATTAACAAAAAAGTAAACATTTTTTATATTAAACAAGGCTTGTTAGTATATGTAATACAATTCAACAGTACACTGTTTTTTTTACGCTACACTGTTTTTTTACGCAATACAGAGCAACTTGGCTATTCTAAGAGCGATTCTTACCAAGCCGTAACCACTGGTAAAAAATGAGCTTCTACGGTATCTTGCTTCAAAGGCAGAAATAAGGTTTGAACTGAAGGCTTAAAAGCCATGCCCACCACATCACTAAAGGTTAAATTGGGTAGGGAAAGCTGAACGAAGAAACGTTTTGGTCCTACAAAAAAAATAGCATCTCTCACATATCAATGACTCTTTTTATGAAGCCTTGTTTAGAGAGAAAACGATCCATAAAATAAACAAACTAAGAAATCAGGGAAGGGGTCAAAGGTCTAATCAAGGCACAAATATATTCAGGATTGATGACGCTCCCGTAGTATTCAGTCCAAGATGGCGCACAACCTGCTACATTAAACATGGTACACATACTAGGTTCAGGTTGTGCGCCATCGTAGTACGAATACTACGAAAGCACCGGATTGATTGACGGCAGATTAATGAGGCAATGGCTGAAAATTTGCGAGGCACTTCATGATCGAGATATTTGCATGTGAATTGTTGTTTAAAAAAAAACAATATTTTCCAAAAAACAGACCTCAGGGATCTCAAGGTCTATTTTATCTGTACAAAATGACAAATTAATTATTAGGAGTTATTCTGAATTACCCAAATTATCTGAAACAAATATTACAATATCGAATACCATAACTAATTTAACACGTTTTTCAAATGTCCGAATCATTTCGGACATACCGGTCAAAAGCAAAACCAAAATAGACAAATGGTACTTTTGGTTATAGTAACCAAACACGGTGACCGTACATTTGAACCCATGCGTATATCCACGGGTTCAATCTATATGCGGGTGCTAAAACCCATGGGTTAGGGTTAGTATGGGTTTAACTATCCGTGAAACAAAAAAAATTCCATAGGTGCAATAGCATACAGGTGCAATTGTCATGGGTTCAAATGTACGTGGGTTCAAATGTAATGGAACCAGCAAGCGCATATAACCGAGTACATAAAATACACAAGACATAAACACAAGACATAAACAGTTTCAAAACTTAAATTTAAACCAAGGCAATAATTTTTGTTCAAAAACAAAACTAATAAAGGAGCATTTATTTGCTAATACAGCGTCATTTATGTACATTGGCAGCAATATGCGATAAGGCTTCAATATATAGAGGCGTTAATGAATATAAAGTTCATGGACTGATATTAGGTCGAGGTCAAGGCCATTGAAAGTAGAGGAAATTACGCTCAAAACTCATTCTGAAGTAAAAGAGACTCATCTCTTAGCAAAGTTATGGGCAATCACTCAGAAGTAAAGGAGACTCATCTCTGAGCAAAGTTACGGGGACTCTCACTCAGAAGTAAAAGAGACTCATCTCTAAACAAAGTTACAGACACTCATTCAGAAGCAAAGGAGACTCAGCTCTGAGCAAAGTTATCGGCATTCACTCTGAAGTAAAAGAGACTCAGCTCTGAGCAAAGCTACACGCACTCACTCAGAAGTAAAAAAGACTCAGCTCTAAACAAAGTTTTGGGCACTCACTCAGAAGTAAAGGAGACTCATCTCTGAGCAAAGTTACGGGCACTCACTCAGAAGTAAAGGAGACTCATCTCTGAGCAACGTTACGGGCACTCACTCAGGAGTAAAGGAGACTCATCTCTGAGCAACGTTACGGGCACTCACTCAGGAGTAAAGGAGACTCATCTCTGAGCAAAGTTACGAGCACTCATTCAGAAGTAAAAATCTCTGGGAAAAGTTATAGGGAAATAGAGAGTTCGGGGAATGATAATAAGTTAAGGCTAATACTAATAAGGCAGATAGAATAAGCTATGCTTCATGTTTAAAAATATACTTAACAAGGATGAGATGCAGTGTATCTAACTTTGTGTGAGAATGACTACGCTTAAGTGCCTTAAACAAAATCTGTAATTTTACTTGATAAGTTTCAAACAATTAACAATTTGTACAGGGGCGTAGCTAGCAATTTAAAATGGGGGGGGGGAATTCCTAATTGCTAAAGTCTCTAAAGTGGGAAACATGGGTTTTCAATCGTCTTTGGGGTCTAAAAAGCGTTTCACACTACAAAAAATAGCTAAGCATGATACAGAAAAAAGCTTTTTTTTTACATTTTAAAAGTGGTGGTTCTGCAATTTACAATGAATATTCAAAAAGCTGAAGTTAAGACTTGATATTTGATCAATAGGTATGCCTAGAGTGAAAATACAAAAAAATTTTGGACGAGAATTTACTCAAAAGCATGGTTATGCTCGCTAACTCAGGAAGTAAAAAAGGCTCATCACCGAATAAAGTTTTGGGAAACACTAAAACACCAATAACTACAAAAATTTTGTGTTTGAAATACAAAAATCATGAACAGGTCTCTTTTTAATAAGACTAAAAGTCTGTTTCTCATGAGAATTCTATACTCATCTTACAAGAGGCAAGTGTTGGATTTGCAATAGATAGCCAAATATGGGGTGAAGCTCAAAAAGTTTGAGAACCACTGCTCTAAAGTATGCCTTCAGGATCCCAATTTGTTTTTTTTTCCAATTTTAGAAATTGAGTTTAAATCGAGAAAAAAGCAAAAAATGAACTGGAATTTCCATATTAGTACTTAAAACCAGGAGAGGTAAGGACAGATCAATTGCACTTGTTCTAAATTAGTATATAATAAAGTATATTTTTACGTAAATCCTTGAGTTTTTTTTTTTTTTTTACCATTTTTGCTACATTTTTAGGTTAAATAAATGAGATAATAAAATTAAATTTTTTTTCAAAGGCTGTTAAATAAAATCTTAAATTTACAGAAAAATCTTTAAAATACATAAAATAGGCACCAAATATATATTACTACAGCCAAATTAAAATTTAAAAACTCAAAAATAATTTTATCAATCAAAGTTAAACTTTCAATTTCAAATTAATATCGTCAGCTTAGTATGTTTGGAGATGGTTTACTCGTTTCACTCAAAGTATAAATAATACCCAGAAACGTGCATAAGAAGTTAGTTACATGAAACCCCAGGTTACAGAAGATCCACATGAGACATATTATTGAGATAGAGATGCTTATGAGTACAGAATAAACAAAACTTGAAGCAGTTCAAAAAGAAACTGCCAGGAAACGAGATTAAATTTCTCAGAGAGGTGATTTTGGTGATAAAGACATTTATAGTGAATGAGCCTCTGGACTAGAGGTGTGAAACAATTCTTGTCGATGGGCCATATAACCAACTTCAGATATCTATATGGGCCACACAAAAAGTTAAGTTTGCCTACGTACACCACCCCGCGGAAAAGACAAGAAAAGAGAGCGTAGTTATCGCCTAGCCTTATAATAATAAAGGTACCGGGCAAAACAACGAAAGATTTAAAGCAGTGACAAAATTGCCCTATTGAACAAATTGTCGGATAAAAATCTGAAGGCAACATTAAATGGCTTGGCGCGCCAGGTTTTGGAGCGTAGGACGCCAATTGCACACCTTTGCTCTAAGCAGCAGGCAGAGCTTACTTAATATAAAGCATTGCAGCCTATACCAAATTTTCCTAATCATTTTCCACGGCTTTGCTTTGATGTGAATGTTTCTAGTATGGCATCTAAAAATAGGAGCATAACAGTTTTATACATTTTAGCTTGTTTAAGGCCATGTTCAGAGTGCACAAAAAAATTCATTTCAGAAAGTTGGACAAAGCACTGTCACATATTGAGCTATGTATATGCTAATTAGTATATACAGGTTGACAAGAAACTTGAAAGAATCTGCGACAATATTGTCAGGAAAACAGCCAGATAGTAGAATATTATTTGGAAACAAAATATATGCAGCGAAGGCCTATCTAAAGCAGCAGCATGTTGACGTTCGAGACTATTCCTTCAGTGAGAAGATTCAATATGGTTTGCTTCTGTTGATTGAGCTGAAAAAAATAAAATAAAATTAGGTTGGTTTGAGAGTCTGGCCGGGGTAATAATGGAACCAATCGAATAAACAACTTACAACGAAATGGCAATGTATTTAATATGGTAAATACTTGATTGCAGGAGTAATTCGAATTTTTGAGTTAGTTTTGAGATATTGTCATCTAAATCAGTGCTTCCCGCCCTTTTTAGTTCCTGACCCACTTTTGCCATTTCTCAGTTGGCGACCCAATTTTATTGCAATTATTTTGTGCCATCCACAATGAGATGCAATTTACTATTGATGCGACTCTAGCTTGCATATATGATATTATCTGATTAAGTTGAAGCTTGTTAGGAGACAGCTTTCATGCGACAGCAGAACATCACATCAAAATTAGGTTAGACAAATTTATTCTCATTTGGAGCGATGAAAATCAAATTTTGACCATAAAATTTGGTGTATGAAAGCTGGCGTGTGTTAGTCTGTTGAAAACACCTATTAAATATTCTTCAATTTCATTCATGAATTTTGATTTCATTTAATACATTATATTGTCTAAACACCTTTTCTAGGGCCTCTAAACTGACGTTGCCTTTGTTCTTTTGGGGATGAAGCCGTGCCGTTCTCCATAGTTCCGTTGGTCATTTTAAGATGATTTTGGTCATTTTGAGACGGCGTGTTGGGATTCTGCAGCTTCGGTTTTAGTTGTTGATGATGTTGAATATATTGACGGGGTTTGATGGGTGAACCGGGGTGGTCCCCAGAAGATTTGGAAGGGTCTGGTGCATGGAATTGTCCGTTAGTAGATGTACTATTGATTGAATGAGACTTTGTTGGTTTTCTTTCGTTTGGGGTTTTTGAACGATTCCGATTGTATTGTCTTTGTTTGTTACGGTACTGGTTTTGAGGTCGTGAACCCTGTGATCGCTGATGTGGAATGCTGCCAGAATCAGCCTGCTGATTTGAATCTTTGCTCGCAGGCTGTGATCGGTCGATCGGAGTATCAGCTGATCGCATTTCTGGCTTTGCTGAATTCGATTTACTGGTGTGCGGCTTAATTACCCCAGCCTGTGTTTGCTGATGTAAATCCTTGCTTACAGGCTGTGATCGGCCATGCATATCCTCCCTTTCACTTTTAAATGAATTTTCAACTGAACCCATTTTCGACTTGGTTGTATATGGCTTATCATTAGGCTTGCTTTGAACAGGCTGTGTTCGCTGAAGTGAATCTTTGCTTACAGGCTGTGATCGGTCATGCATATCATTCTTCTGTCGCTTGTAACTCCCAGAAGAATTATGCCTGGGTGTGTCTACTGATGTCCGTTGTTTATTATTGTTGGATGAAACTTTTGTCAGCTGTGATCGGTCAGCCATATCATTCCGGCCTCGTTTCGAATTTCCATGTGAACTCGGCTTTGTAGAGTTTGTCGTATTTGAAAATGGCTTTTCGATGTCTTTTGGTGACCCTCGGTCACTATTTTTTGACGTCTCATTAATGTGTTTCGATGTCCCTTGCCCCCTATTTTTCAGTGAAGTGCTTTTTGATGAAGGCCCATTTTGTACTGGAATATGATCTCCCTTATTTGTACTTCTTGGATCCTTAGATCTCACTTCCTTCCTTCGGTTCGTTTTACTGTTCTCTGAAGCGGTTTTCATATCCATAGGAGCGGCTTTTCTAGTAGTTTCTCCAACTTCAGTGGGAGCTTCTTTGGGTGTACCATTAGCCCCATCTTGTGGTTCATTTTTCTTGAAATTTTGACTTCTTTTTTTGCTCGGTGATCGATAACGAAAAACTTTTTTGAAAGGTCTTTCATTTAGACCTTCTTTAGCATTTTGGGATTCACGTTTATCAGTTGTATGTTCATTAGACAGTTTTACAGAATTTTTAGGCCCGTTTTTCATTGAAAAATTCGATGTTTTTTCAGTTTTTGAAGAAATTTGGGGTTTTTTGGTCTTGACAGTATGGGAGTTCCCTGTATGGACAGTGGGAGGAGAAGATTGCACATTTAAAGTTTGTGGCTTTGCATTACCGGTCCCTGATATAACGGTCTGATTTTTAGGAGTTGAAGATGCTTTCTGATTGGCTGAAGTGTCGTGCTTCATTGGAGATGGCTTCTTATTATTCGTCTGCGATTGGCTCGATTGAGTTGCTGCAGCTTTTACGGTTGATTGCACATTATTTGTGATTGTAGTTTTGGCAGAATCGGAGTGAGGAGTCATATATCCACTAGGGGGCAGTGGCACTTTGAAATGGGGGGTTACAGTCGATGCAGATATGGGGGCTGAAGAAGGCATAGGAGAACTTGATTGGACGGTTTGAACTGGATTCTTTTTCTTACGATTACGACGTTTTTTATTTGTAATATTCGTTGATTGGGTGACTTGATTACTTTGAGTAAAACCAGGAAAGTTGACATTGGCGGCTTGAGATGTTTGCGGAGATGAAATTGAGTGATTTGTTGATTCCGAGCCAGATGCAAATCCATCATCTTCGGAGATTTTTTCTTGATCATTCGAGGATGTTAAACCTTTTTTATTTTTACGTTTCGGGTAAAAAGTCGCTGAAATCCAGTAGAAATGAAAATATTCAGACTGAGTTGTGGTTTGGCTCGGAGAAACTTTTAAAATGTCCAAAAACACTTGAGTACGATATTCTGCCTCAAAATTTGGGTCCTTAAATTCATTTTTTGTGAGTTTTATTTGAAAATGGACATTAACGAACGCTTTACAAATCTCAGTCCATCTCATGAAAACATCTCGTTCATCGGGACTGTATTTTTGAGTCGGTTTTATACGAAATTGAAGATCTGAGCCAAATCTGAAAGAAAAAGGAAAACTTGTTTAATTATATACACTTGCACAGGGATGAACAAAACTAAATAATGTAATACTGCATGATTGCCACCAGGTATGTTCATGTTGGAGATAAATAAAGCACAACTGGTGTTGGCAAGACAATGTAGTTTGCAGAATTTTCAAATTTCTAGATGATATGGAAAGCATATATACGATAGTATGCTCTCCATAGTTTATATGCAAGTTACGAGGAAAACGAGGAAATCCATGCGGTGTAGATATGTTCTTTTAAACGCAACGATGGGTTCTCCTCTTCCCGAAGGTAAATGCAAAATCGCTTCCAAAAAGGGGGGTTCCTGCCTGGTGAGGCATATAATTACCATTCAATTTGTCGAATATTTGAGTTCGAAGTTCGAATATTTAATTATATAGCTATTTATGTTAGGTAAATAACTTTTGATTTCAACTTTGATATGGTAGCAGATTGACAATATATACTGAATTTTACTGCATAAAATTCAACATTAATCGCAATTTTACCAAAAAAGGGAAAATTTTGGTAGCGGCTGTAGCGATTTTGATAAAATGGAAACGTTTACAGTCACATAATTCGCCATTGTCATTCTATACAACAGGTGTGTGCAACCTTTAAAGCAGGAGGGCCACATATTAACAACTTGGTGAAACAGTGGGTAGAACCCTTATTAATATAGGCTATCTAGTAGTTTCAGGCACAAAATGTTAGCTTATTGATCTTGTGACATGGGTTGTTTGCTTCGCACAAGCTAGCTTATTAAGTCATTGTGACATCATAGGCATAGATAATAAATTGGACTCAGGTATTGGCTTTGCAAAGGGATCGGAATTACTAGCACATACCAAATTTAAAACTAGTTTAGCGGGCCGCGCATCCTTCAAAATTGGCACTTCTCCACGGACTGCACAATTTTACTTGAGGGCTGCCTTTGACCTGCGGGCCGCAGGTTGCACACCTCTGCTATATAGTTTCAGTTCTTGCCATTCCAGCAATCACTAAAATTTTTTTTAACGGATTACGATGAGTATCATACACCAGATCTACTCAACTGGCGGACCGCGGTCCGAATCCGCGCGACCTTGCGGGTATTTGATTCGGAATGCGCCTTATTCTTTATTTTAGTTCATTTGCCCCACTTTTGAAGTTTCCTTTTATACAATCAATTTTATAGATTTGAATATATATGGAAAAAACTATGACGCCTTAATAAACAATCTTGATTAGCTAATAATCATTAGTCGATTGAGGAAGTGCGTGTTTAATGATGTTGAAAATATATATTTTGGAAAGACCAGACCCAAATATTTTAAAAGTTTTGAATGCGGATCTTCGGTAAAAATAGTTGAGTAGCCCTGCAATATACTTCTGATTGAGTTCACCTGACCTTGCGATGGGGATATTATTTTATGATGAGATGATATCAATAGTGGAGGGCGTCCATGAAGTCTTAAAATTTTGTTCAATTAAAAAGGGATTTCATCGATACTATAAATTGTTTTGGCCCTCACAGATATATTTAATTGTAGTTGAAATACTTTAATTACTCACTTAACACAACAAACCTGGTTAAGACATATTGATAACTGACTTCATAACAAAATTGAAACTGCGAAGAGACTTTATGAACAACCTGTATTATCTACTTTTAGTTAAACGCTCGAGATTACTTTGAGCAATCTAGACTAAAATTTTCAAGATTACTCACAGCACACTGCAATTCCTTGGTTCCATTTTGAGTAAAAACTTTTGCATGTTGTTCTGGACTTTGTATTCAGTTTCGATGCTTTTATCGAAGACACAGAGATGAATGAAATGATAGTCTGGATTCTGAACTTTCGGTTTAGCGATGTACGCAGCCACACGTAGCCCTCTAGTGATTGCTCCATTCTGCCCTCTAGTGAGCACAACTCGGTAGCTGTAATTGAAGTACATAAATTGTCAATAGAGATTCAAATATATATGGAGTAAAAATTAACATTAAAATGTAAGTCTAAGCTGATATATTAAAAAAAACTACAAGGCTGATCAGTTTAAGAGTTGCGCAATTGCGCTGCGAAAATATGTAGTTTAGTAATTCTACTTCGTGCGGTCATCTGCCCCAGGATAATTTGGATTTACATATTTATCCTGGGGGAGAGGAAAGCCGCTAAGACGGCTTAATCATATGGTGAACCCAGGCCTTTCGTCCTGTTACCAGTCCTCGAGTATGAGATTAGTTAGTTATTTGTTCCAGATGCATGGATTTAATGGTGGAGGAAGTCGTAAAAGACCAGCTGTCATATGGTCCACCCTACGATGGCGAGGATTCCAGCAATCCTCTCGCACATAATTATCTCCCACAGGATTCGAACCTGCAAACCCACGCAGGGTAATCAGAAGTACGGTGGCGTATTCCTAACGCTTAGCACGATGTGCCACACTGCCGAGCCAAGGTAATATCTTTCGTTTTCTAAATGCTCAAAATGTTGCATCATGAAGGGTTGATGCAATGGAACTTGGGATATGGACCTGCCATTAAATGCTTATTGTGCGTAGTTATGAGTTTTGTATTGTGCTGCAGCCTGCAGTTTTGTATTGTGCTGTGCTGCACATGTACCGTATTACTACTCAACTGTTGGTATTTTGAAGGCGTTCCAGAAGTGTGTGCACCAATATGGAGGTAACTAATTTTGTTTGCATACTTTACTTCAAGTTGTGTAAAGGGACTGAAACCTATGAGTAGGGGGTATATTCACTTGGCTAACACAGACAGTCCCGAACTTGTAATAGAAATAAAATAGGGAAAATCAGAAATTATTGCCTAACCCAAACCTGGTACACACACTACAGGAGTACCGATTTGTGAAGGGTGCATGTCGCACATTCATTCCAGTAATGTTTTCAACATGCACTCCACTTGTGTTGTAACATTTACTTATTGTGAAGAGGAATTTAAATTTTGAACAAACATAGTTACATCATAGTGGCGCAATAACAACATTATTTATTCAAGTGCCAACACAACAAGCTGATTATAGTCAAGTACTTCCAAGTGTAATCCAACTGTCTGGCAAACAGGACATAACAAAATTTAAAATGTAAATCTGTTTTTTTTTTCAGGAGAATTCGCTCAGAGCAAGTTCACATGAGCAAACCTGCAAACACCACTGAAATTATGATATAACGATCAGTAGAGGTTGCGCGAGACTAACTCCCAATCCTTTCTCTATGCCTTTGCGCTAGTGGATCCGTATGCGTATAATGCAAGGATGCTGTAGCAGGAATAAAATACCATAATATGCAATTCAAGAGTCCTGCTGCACACTAACACAAATATATTTCTGTAACGTTTCGTCTGGCCAAAATCAGACTTCCTCAGACAAGCAGTTTACAACAATGAACTGCTTGTAAACTGCTTGTCTGAGGAAGTCTGATTTTGGTCAGACGAAACGTTACAGAAACATATTTGTGTTAGTGTGCAGCAGGACTCTTGAATTGCATATTATTGAAATTATGATATATTTGATTTTTTTTTTATTGTCAGAAATTGAATGAAGTCTGAAAGAGCATAAGATATCAAATGCTTTTTAATTCTAAAATCTAGATTTTTGAATATAAATATAACCAATTTCAGTGCCACTTCAGTATGCGTTTAATGTCATGAAGACAGAATTCGGTTCCTAATCATAACCGAAATCACTGAGGTCGCATACCAGAGTCGCCACTGTAACCACACTCTGAAAAGAGTATAATTTTATTCCAAGTTTTCTTATTTCATTTTTGGGGCGCTCCAGAGTGTGTATCAATATGGAGGTAACTAATTTTGTTCGCCTACTTTTCATTAGGTTGTATAAAGGGACTGAAACCTATGGGCAGGGGGTATATTGACTTGGCAAATACATACAGTCCATGAACTCGTAGTCGTAATAGAACTAAAATAAGGAAAATTGGAATAAAATTATGGCCTAACCCTAACCTGGTACACACACTATAGGAGTACCCATTTTTGACCTTTTTGCATCTTGGCAATCACAAATAATATGATTTGGATTTTAAATGGTTCATTACGTTCATAGCTTGAAGTTTAAACCAACATTCTGACGAGGCAATCGACCATTTCCACCTGCAATTTCATCGTCAAGTACTTCCTGGTTTTTGACCGACTTCCTGGTTGATACCAAGCAAGGTCTAATGGTCAGTTCAACAAAACGACAAGAGGGTACTATTTTCAGTTCTCCCGCAGTATGTGCAACAAGATGGTGGACACCAGAACGTGGTACGTGTACCAGGTTAGGGTTAGGCCATAATTTTGAGTACAAATACTACGGGAGTCACTTGGCTAGTCCCCGAACTCGTAATAGAACTAAAATAAGAAAACTTGGAATAAAATTATAGCCTAACCCTAACTTGACACACATACTATGTTCAGATGTCTGCCATCTTGTTGCACATACTACGGGAGCGCCTTATTTTCACTATAGAATGAATTAATAATACGACTTATTGGCTTTCTTCTTCCTCAATATGAAATTTGAATTGAAAAAACATTAATATGATGTATTGTAAAACGAAGCAAAAGCTTTCAAAACAAAGCATATGAGGTAATATTGCTTCAAATAACTGGATGTCCAACACGAAAATTAAATATCCAAATACATTCTATAACTAACTCATAATTTTGAAAATATTTGGGTATATTTACATACCAAAAGTCTATGAATAAATGATGACTAATATATGGACCATGGTAACTGTTGAACGGACCCAAACTTAAAACATATTCCATATTTGAAAATATTATTTAAGAATGCATTGAGAATAATGGATCTCAACTCCAGCAAATACATTATAAGTAGGGCTGGGCATTTCGAATCGAATATTCGAATCGAATAGTAAATAATTCGAATCGGTTCAAAGCAAAATTTCGAATCGCCGCCATCTTGTTTTTTTCTTTCCGACAATAGTCGAGGTAAATTTCTCAAATTTTTTTATTAAAGCCATATTTTTTTCAACGCAATTGTGACATATAACTCTTTTCTGTAGTGAGTTATTGATGAAAACGTGTTTTTTTATTGTGTGTGAACGCTCAGATATCTGCCTGAGTGATGTATTCTATGTTTTCAGTAATTTATGTGTCTGGAAGACCTAATATAATAAGGAAGTTACATACAATTTTATATCTAAGTATTCGAGATTCGATTCGAAAAAAATATTCGATTCGATTCTGAAATCATCAGGTATTCGAAAATGCCCAGCCCTAATTATAAGTGTAATAAATTGGCGATGCTAAACCAGTGAGAGTTCCGTTCCTTCTAAGTATAGTTGCTCCGATGCTACTTTGGGATGCTATCTCAGTGATTCTTACTTACAAACTTAATTCTATGAGAATGCCTTAATGAAATCAAACTAATACCAAAGTTTTTTATGCAAGGAAAAGGTAACAAGACTCCACTCTGAGTGTTACGGTTACCACTGAAACGGGTGCTACTCTGGTATGAGATCTCAGTGATTTTTCGTTACAGACTCAATTTTATGAGAATGGGTCTACTCTATGAGATCAAACGAATACCCAAAGTGGCACCAAGTTTTTTATGCAAGAAAGGTCAAAACAGGGTACCAAGACTCTTCTCAGAGCGAAGCTACGGTGGTCACTCTGGTATGCAACCTCATCAGTGATTTAGGTTATGATTAGGAACTGAATTCTGTCTTCATGGCATTGAATGCATACATACCAAAGTGGCACTGAAATTGGTACCACTCACAAATGTGATTCAGATCATGTTAAGCAAGCCAAAGTGGTCTCAGTGATTTTAATTAGTGAACTAAATTCTTTGTGAATGTCTTTATGAGATTGAGCACATACCAGAGTGGCGCTGCAATTGGTATACGATGGAGATCACGTCAAGCAAATGAGATCGCATACCAAAGTAGCGTCTTATACAAGGTATCCAAAAAATTTTGACTCATTTAAAAGTAATAACAATTAAATTTGTCTTCCGATTTTATGGTAATAAAGACATTTGAAAATTTCGTTCAATATCATAGTAATACCAATTTTATTGTGCTTGTAGTTCTCATTTCTTAAGCAGTAAAATTTATTTAAACTTACAATCACTATTACAATAAAAAAATTAGGCAAAATTTTTTGGACATTCTGTATGTTTGTGAAAATTTTTACAGAGCTTTGATAAGAGTAAATGTATAAAACAATGCAAAAAACGAGAATATCGGTTGGAAACCGAAGACTTATCGATCGATAGTTAGGGGATCCCCCAAAACAGAAACTGCAGTTTCGATTCATCCGCTCTTATAACTTGCGCACTGCGCATCGCACACACACACTCGGCAGGTTTCAAAATTCTCTCGCTTTACAAAAATCTAGATCACTATATCAATAATTGATTGATAACTCGCTAATTATAAGACATAATTCGCCCAAAATCAATAGACTTCTGGTCCGAGATAAGATGAATGCACATGCAAAATCTGGAGCAAATTCAATCTCGCTTTCGTGAGATATCGCGTGCATCTAACAGACACACACACAGACAGACAGACAGACAGACATACATACATACAGACAAATACCTATCAATATACTTACCGATCTTAAGATCGATAAGTAATAATTTCATGAAAATATGGAAATACCTTCCAAGTTCATCTGTCTGTATCTTCACTGGTTTTCCAAATATATATTCAGTTCTCCCTGTTGTTGTCCAAGTGCTATCGGCATCTTGTTTCTCAATCTGGAAATACAGATATAATAACAGTTAATACTGCATATTTGTGACTAGAAATGTTATTCGGATAAAGGCTACACGGTCTGTATCAGCAGTTCCAAACCGGGGGCACGTGGTCACCCAAGAGGGCCACACCGCAGTCGGAAGGGGGCCACAATGCTAAGCGCAAAACGAATTTTACTTTTTCCCTGACAAGAAAACTCCCTGTCTTACCTAGTTTCATTCCTTCTTTATTGCACAAAGTCCTTCTAAGAATGAATTGTTTGAACATAATCGAATTCGGAATCAACCAATCAAAATAAACACTTTAAATACCACTGGAATGATAAACAGGGCCATGATTGCTAAAACCCTCCGAAAGGGAGCCACGAGCCATAAAGGTTGGGCTTCCCAAACTTTTGAGCTCGCGGCTCCTTTCAATATATTATTAAAAAATTTTGCGGCCCTTGTCCACGCTAATAATGCTAAACAGTTCAAAATATGCGTTTTTGATGTCTTATTGACACAGCTAATTCTCAACTATATATCGCTACCAAATAAAAAAAACAAAAACACATGTTTATTCAGATTAACATTACTCAATTATTCAGTGTGATGGGTGCGAATGCATTTGCTGCATAGTACAAGTCAAGCCGTTGTTTAATGTTTGTTTATGGCAGGCCTGAATGATGAATTATGATTTATGATGTCTGGCCACCGACGACATGGTCCTCATCTTGAATTGTTCAATCTTATAGATCAAACTTAGCATAAGGCAGCGGTTTGTGCGACGCCAAATTATCCGGGGAAAAACTCATGGCGCACCTACACGAAAAATAAGCTGCCACAAGACAAACACAATTTTGTCATCGTTAATATGTACCTTTTGATGTTTTCAAACATGTAGGTCTAAAGAAAAAAGGCAGAAGGTTAACGTTTCTTTCTTATATCTGCCAGGTTTAAAATGCTGAAAAAAACTCATGTTCGATAATCTCGGTTCAGCAAATGAATAAACTGCAGCCTATGAAATTGCAGCATGTAGGCCTTGTAGGGTTTACCTCTTATCTTACGTAACAAGAGACCCTACGTAACAGAAAGTAACAACATAAAATGGTATAATGAATTTGCTTCATATACACATCATTGGCAACAATGAGAAACAATAAAACATAACAATAACAAAGGGTGGTAATATAAGCGCTCGCCTTTAAAAAAGACTTACTTAGTCGATAGCGCAACTATTGTTTTTAATTAATCCCGTGGAAGTGCGTCGTTTCAATTTTGCTAAGGCGTCGCAAAATTTCGTGATTCGTGAATGTTTCAACCAAACTATATATTCTACTTTCACAGAAAATTTCGTTTCGTATTTGTATAAAGCAGCCTTTCTACCAGGGGCCATCAAATGCGATTTCGCTGACTGTCGTTAAGTTTTGTTTGTTTATATGATCATTACGTATTTTCACGGGGAGTCGCAACTTGAGCATGTTTTTGGAGGGCGCCACAATACAATGAAGTTCGAGAACCACTGAGTTCCAGTCGATAGCAAGAACTCGTTTCTACTTTTGAAATGGTTAAGCCCTAGTGTTATTTTCGAAAGAAAATTGAAGACACTGTCTTATTTTCGAGGAAACACGGTATTATGATGAAGTATTCACTCCGAATCGTGAAATGTTTAATTTACACTATTTTTAATAATTGTATTTCGCATCAAGAGTCTGAAAAAGTACAATAGATATGGTCCTTTGTGTAAAATTGGCGTTCTCTTCGCGGCCCCAAAAATTCGTTTCGCGGCCCCTTCCAGGGCCGCCGCCCCTAGTTTGGGAAGCCCTGGTCTATATCATTCTGAACGACGTTACAATATGTTTTGTTAGGCTTTCATTTAGTTCTAATATGTCGGAAAAGCAGTGTCCAACCTAATTTATTCGTATTAAATTAAAGTCAGAGGCCAGAATAGAGGCCGTTGAAGTCGTCATTTTCCCTATTTCATTCATTTGGACATTCCTACCCTAACATATGTAAAACATGAAAATGTGGCCGCATTTTGAATATCAAGGAAACCAGATCTAAGCTGGAAACATTGAATAAATATTTATAGAGGTTTATGTAACAACATAACCTGCATCTGTCTGTGTAAGACTTATGTAACGCCAGTCTGTGATGACCAATACAAGGAAATAGGTTTGAGGCTTACAGATTAGCATGTAATATTACTAATTGAATAAATGAATAACAGGTACAAAAATTAAAAAAACAAGCCGTTAGGTCATTATAAGTTTAATTGACAAACCTTATAATAAAGCAGCGGTTCCCAAACTATGGGAAGGAATCCCAGTGGGTCGTGAAAAGATGTAAAAAGCTTTGATTAATTATACTGGTTATTGGGATCGGCGGCGACTCGAATACGTAAATTTTCAAAAAAAAAAAAAAATAATTTAAATTGAATTTAAATTCTAATCTGTCAAAGTTTTCTTTTTTACGATCTTCTCAAAGGAACAAAAATTTACTACACAATAATTGACCATGTGGCTTTTTTACGCATAGCAGTTTTGTGCCCTGTAAAGCACTTCTTACCGTGTTTCCCCGAAATTTAGGAAGGATTTAGATTTATTTTCTTTGAAGAATAACACTATGGTTTTTTTTTTTGAAAGAGGTCTTTTGAGTTCATTTATCAAAAATAAAATTACATTGTAGAAAATCACGAGATTTTTTAATAAACATTATAAAAAAACCGACATCCATTGTTTTTATTTGTATTTCCTATACAAAAATCAAGTGTCAAATATCATAATTGTGATTGTGACATCACACAATGTTGAATAGTGGTGTGATCTTCACTTTACCTCAGGTCATTGGACCTCCCCTCTCCCACACATTTTAAATTCATTTTAAGGGTAGGGTTTAATTAAAATCATTTTTAAAATTGAAATTAGGTCTTATTTTCGAGGATGGTAGTTTTACGATGATTAGCCATTGCTGTGTTCTGTATTATGTCATAAAAAAATTAAATGGGTCACCATAAGCTGTGGTAATAAATGGTGGATCGCAACCCTAAAAAGTTTGAGAACCACTGTTATAGAATGTTTTTTATATGATAATAAGCACAGTGTAACAATCAGGGTCATTACGCATTATTTCCATCAGTATTTTCAATGCAATTTTATATCATTAAAAACTATAGTTGTAATTTAAGCAGGCACAAGTGGGCCTGATGAAACACTTCGGTTAGTCATATTTGTCCACCACTGGTCTGATCTACCGTATTTGCTCGTTTTGTAGCCCGGGCCCATATTTTTTTCAACCAACTCACTAACCGGGCCCTTATTCAAACCGGCCCTTATTCAAGCACGGGCGCTTGTTATTTTTGATCGTTACAAAATTTAATATATTGTTATTTCCAGTTCTCAAGTATGATTTAAACAAGAATAACAAAAATTTTGACTTTTTCTACGCACCGCGGGTACAAATCTACAAAAGAAGAAAAGTTTTGCGACGCCCTATCAATATTGAAACGACGCACTTGTGCGCCGCGACGCCCAGTTTGAGAACCATGGTGTTACGTAATCAATGCTATCTGTTATGTACTTGGACGTCTAAGACGTGAGTGTTATCTATACCGGCGCTTAAAATTCAACAGCGTTGTGACAAAAAGCGCTTCTTATTTCCTATTGTTCTCTACCACTGAAAAATCAGCTTTTACATCGGGAGGGTATTCAAGCATGGGCCCTTATTTATTTTTATGTTCTGTTCACACGGGCGGCTATTCAAACGGGCTCTTAATCAAGATCGGGCGGTAAAACGAGCATATACAGTATATTGTAGTAGCTTCTACAGAGCCTTGTTCAGAGTATATGAATACTACACTATGTAAGACTATAGTATTATCCAAATGAGTCATTTATTTATGAATACGCAACAAAAAAATTATTTCTAGTTCAAACTAGTTTAAAATATTATGCGCAAATATTGTGGTTACATAATATTAAAACAACAAGCAGGAACTAGAATCAATCAACCTTCAGGCATTTACATTGATCCTATAGTTAACAATAAAGAATTATTTGCCATCCTAAAGTGGTTTTTCAAGGATTTAAACACAAAACATGAAAATGAAAGTACTTTAAGGACTTGGGAAACCGGTCTAAGAATTTTGGGAATTTCCATCATTTTCTATTTTTAGAATTGTTTAATTTGGAGCAACCAGTAGGCCTAAGCCAAGTCAATAACAAATTTCATTTCAAATGAATATGAAATCAATTATATCTGACATTTTATACTCTTGTTTTTAAGAATGCTTTTAAATAGTTTTATTTGCTATTTTATCATTTTGGGCAACTGAATTCAACTAGCTAAAAAGTAATTCATTCAATTTCTGAAAAACAAAATTACCGTTTATCAGAGGGTGTCCCGAGAGTTTTGATTGATTTTGTAGTGATAACAATTAAAAATATTTTGTCTTTCTTTATTAATAATTCTTTTAGTGATTGTAGTTCTCATTTATCATACAATGGAATTCATTTAAACTTACAATTGTTATTACCATAAAATCGGGCGAAATTTTTGGGACAACCTGTATACATTACAAAAGTCAATCTCAGTGATAAACACTGAACATTACTCAATCCAGAAAGTATTCAATATTTGGTGCTCCATAAGTATGTGTACCAATATGGAGGTAACTAATTTTGTTCGCCTACTTTACATCAAGCTGTGTAAAGGGACTGAAACCCATGGACATAGTGTATATTTACTTGACTAACACAGACAGTCCCCGAACTCGTAATAGAACTAAAATAAGGAAAATCAGAGTAAAATTATGGCCTAACCCTAACCTGATAAACATACCACGGGAGTACCCAATATTTTATGTTCAAAAATATTATTTTGTGATGTATTCAAAATAGTAAATTATTTGATTTTGGCAACCTTCAAGCACAGCATTCGAGTCACTCAAGTGTCAGAAAGTGTGTCAAACAGGTTTGCCGTATACACCTATAGTTTTAAGGGTATTCCCGTAATGTGTGTACCAGGTTAGGGTCATAATTTTATTCAAATTTTTCTTATTTAAGTTCTATTACAAGTTCAGGGACTGTCTGTGTTAGCCAAAGCCAAGTGAATATACCCCCCCCCCCCCCCTGCTCATAGGCCTCCGTCCCTTCACACAACTTGATGTAAAATCGACAAACAAAAGCAGTTACCTCCCTATTGGTACATACACTTCTGGAGCGCTATTTCAAGCACACACACACACAATTGGAAGATCACATTTTCATAAAATAACTGCCATTGACTCTTAAACCACTTAGCTTATGAATACCCGAATATGACTTAAATAAACGAAGATATGAGTAGAGGTGGAAATGAAATTGGGACTTCTGGTTTTGTAAAGTGTTCCTAGTACTGAGGTACTTTCAGCCTTCAAACAGACCATTAGTTCAAGACTTTAACACACAGATATGAAGTGTTGTTTGGTTAGTGGATGGGAGACTTATATCAGGAATTCCGGACATTTGGTTTGTACTAGTAATTTCAAACAAATTCTCATATTCAATTACATTTTAAAAGACTTTCAAAGATTGTTTTCCAAGATTTTCATTGAGTTAAAAAGGTATTAGGCAATTCTAGCAAACATTTTGACACTTTTCAACTGGTACAGGAAGCAATTCACAATAACAGCAAGAATATTTTCGAAGTATTCAATGTTTTGGAAATCATAAAACTTTTGCTATTAGATAGATTCATTTAAATATCCATATGATAATTAATTGCAAATCAGAATTGCGGACAGAGCCAACAAAATTTCTAACTTTTGGAGCCGAAAGAAAAATGCAAATACCTAATAATTTGTTACAGACATACTCGGATATTAATAAGGAGACAGGTACTGCTGTCTGTAAATTAAAAATTATAAACTATCCATATATGAAAAGACACATCCAACAAATGGCAAACTTCATTAGCCAACTTACATAAAGGTAATCAAATGTTATAAAATTTATTACAGATATACTCAGATTCCAAAAAAGGAACAGACAGGTACTGAGAATGCTGTAAATCATTTGCAGAATATAATTTAGCGGTTGCGTTGGCGTCGATTAGCTTAGTATTGTATTTGCTTTGACACTTGTTTGTTGATTTTGTAATAGCTACCAATGTTATGCAATTCGCAGAAGCGACCAAAACATAATAAATTTGATTCTTCCAAAAAGACAGCAGCTTTCTATGAAATTTGGGTTTTTCATGTTTATATTGGGGAAAGAGTAGATGTGAAAGATAATCATATGGCAAATCTCTGCTTTTTTATAGCCTCAAGAGAAATTATAGAATAATCACAATCACAAATATATATTCATAGCAGTGCATTCCTGCACGAAGCCTATTGCAAACACCTCATAAAATAAATCAAATTAAAAATAATTCCCACCTGACAATTAACGTTCCCATCCCATCCTCTGCCCATCATTCTTTTAGTGTTCACTGTTAAAGTTACTTGTCGGTGGAGTTTGGTTCTCGTTGGATCATCAGTGGAGAAATGAATCGCCGGGGTAAGGTAGACTTTTTCTTCTGTATCGTCAACGAACTATAGAAAAAAGAAAATGGGATCATTTAAAGTCAAAATGAAGGAATGAATGTACATAAAATTAAATTCACATACAGTACATTTTCGCATATAAAGGAGTTTAAAACTAAAAAAAAGTTGACAAACTAAGAGGTTATATGCGCAACTCTGAGGGGTTTGACAATGATAGTGAGGATAAATTTAAAGGATTTTGAGACATTTCTTCAGTTATTTATAAAAGAAAAACATAACAATAAATCAATAATGGTTATCATTTCCATTAATTCTCTTCTGCAACCATTTGCTTTGATAGGTGAGTATGGTGTGTTACGATTTGTAGAGTCGGTTTATATGCGAATATTTATAATCTCACCGTTTTGAGGCCATTTTTAGGGGGTCGCTTATATGGAAGGGTATACGGTAAATAAGAACACAAAAGCTGTCCAAATGAGGAATTCATCCCCTGCCAATAACACATGATTTCTACCATGGGGAGTCGAAATACAGCTGGTGGCGGGTACTCCCGTAGTGTGTGTACCAGGTTTGGGTTGGGCCATAATTTTATTCCGATTTTCCGTATTTTAGATCTATTTTTAGTTCAGGGACTGTTTGTGTTAGTGAATATTCCCCCCTGCCCATATGTTTCAGTCCCTTTACAAAACTTGATGTAAAGTAGGCGAACAAAATTAGTTACCTCCATATTGATACATACACTTCTGGAGCGCCCAGGAAAACATGTCGAGCTTCCAACACTGTTTCAGTATCCATAAACATGGCTCCAGATAACAATATCCTCTGAAATTATACACTTCTTACCTTTTTATATTTTTCAACTTGAACGTGGACTTGTAATGGCCTCATTACAGCTTCAGAAGGAAAAGATAATTCCAGCATCGGTATTTCCACGATCCCGCCTTCTTCATCAAGAGTAAATCCATATTTCGCTTGCTCGTCGTCTTCGAGAGAAGTTTGTGTGACGGGGTATAATTTCTTTTTATGTTTTTTGCTTATTACGTTAGACCAATCCTCGTCTCGTTCATAAACGGATTCTTTTGTTAATAATCCTTTCCTTCTGTGGTTAGGTTTTGTTGATGTCTGTGGTACAATGGAAAAAAATGATTAAATACACAAAATTTGAGGGAAAGGATTATCCAATGTTACTTAAATATTCAAATTTGAAATTGGTGATATTTTACCAGTATATCGAAAATATTTCATATTGGAAAATACTTAGAATATTTTTATTAAGAAATAGTTATTTTAAGCATTTGATATCTGTCGATTAAAATGATGTTTGTCTAATCCAGCGTTTCTTTCTCAAACTTTTTATGCCCGAAACACTGTTGGGAAACAAATTTACGACTTCGAGTCGACAAAGTCCGACCGAGATCGCTAGGCGACCTACTTTATCGCAATCTCAATCCATTTTCCGCTGAACGCTCTGGCACAGTTTGAGAAACGCTGGTGTAATTTATTCATCACAAAAAAATTATACTCCTATGAATTTGCAATTATTTTTGAAGTTGCTTTTGTCGAATAATTCCTAATATATTAAAAAATATTATCCAAAAACACTTTTACTTGGCTTGGGCATGCCAGATTATAGTTTACTGCATCAGAAATAACTATTCTAGAATTGAAGGCTGAAGACCCCAAGTGGGCATCCAAAGCACAACACCTCACCAAGAGTGTAAAGCAGGGGTCAAAAACCTATGGCCCGCAGAATAATATAATCTGGCCCGCGACACTTCACTGAATTATAGTACCGAAACACCTGTTTTGACGATTATATTCTTCACGTAACAGAATTAATTGTAATACACGTGTAGACTAAATTATATTATGATCTAACAAGTATGAAATTCACAATTACTCAATGAGTCTATAATTTAATAATTACAATCAGACAAATTGCAACAAAACGCAGAAAAGTTGATGCTGAGTGCAAAAGGTTCAATGACGGCGAATGCAATTGAGATGCAATGCAATGAGGAAATAAATCTATATTCTATTTGAGAGATGTATCATTGCTTTATTTTTATTATAAAAAGTATCATCTGTTCGGTTTTCAACTTTCTAAAATATGTGCAGCCCGTCAATGACTTGCAAACCTTAATTTTGGCCTGTGAGCGACAAAAAGGTTGCCGACCCCTGATGTAAAGCATCAAGTAGGCTATACTTCAAAAATTTCAAAGGCAAGTTTGAAATGAATTATATTATATGAAAATCACTCAGTTAGCTGGCCTTGGCCTAAAAGAAAAATTGTACCCAATAGAGGAGTTGACATATGACACCCCGAAAAACTATTGTTACTTAACTCACCTGAGAAGTTTCAGGAATTGATTTTTTCACAGTTGGTTTCGCATTAACTGCTGATGTATTGATGACATCATGCGTAAACTGCTGACTCATGATAGTCTATAAAAACAATGGTATACAATGGTTCAGATGGGAGATGAACATAATAAATTGAATGTGCAAAGTGCCTGCAAGTACAGGGCGAGCGTGCATAAGACTCGAATAAAAAAAAATTAGATGTGATTAGTCCTTGATTTTAGTAATAATTTTGAATATTTTTATTTTAAAATCATTATTCTTACTTAGTATTATCATTCTGTTAGTAGGCCTATTTAACATAGATTGTCAGGAACAAAATAAACTTTATTCAACTTCTGACTCGAATAAAATCAAAAATAATATCAATCAAATCGAAAATATAATCAATAAAATCATTTTTTCTAAATAGAAGTATATACTGAGCTTGACCCGATGTATAATATATTTCACGATTCTCATCCCCCCCCTTTTCCCCAAAAAAGTGAAAGAATTCACAGCATACCTGAGCTAATTGTTCATCCAAAGTATAACTTTCCGTATCTGAATCCCTGGCTGTGTCTGCGTAAAACACAGATAAAGGAATTAGACAGAAAATAATAATGGGCCATGTTCACATCCCGCCGGTGGATTATGTGTCAATCATCGTTAGGTAATTAGGCGCTCCAGAAGTATGTGCACCAAGATGGCGCACAACCTGACCCTAACCCGGTATACATACTATGTTCAGGTTGTGCCCCATCTTGGTGCACATACTTCGGGATCACCGCTAATTAATTATTTGCAGATGGGGCGTAGTGTTCTTATTTTTTCACTATTCTAATCAGCTCTCTTAGCACTGGTCCTCCCAATAATTGCACGTTCTGTTCGAATTACCTGGTAACCCGCCATATTATTTTAAAAATGAACGATGTCTAGTGAACTTGTGGCAAAATATGCCTGTAATGGCATATCTAACTTCTAATTATTTTTATTTTTAATATACGGATCAGTTTCCTCAAACGTTTCAAACCTACGAAAGGTTTATTTCCTGTGATACAAATCACAAAGTCGAGGTTGTCAAAGTTTCGGGCGAGATGGTCAAGTGGTTAAAAATAGACCTATGTTGGAATATGCGAATGTTAAAAATTTTGAGTGCCAAACGCCTCAAACCAGGGTGCAATAAATTTGGTAAATACCGAACTTGAATGATTCTGATCATTCTAAATATTGTGCCTGGCAAATTCGCCGCAGCAAGTCTCGGTGCATAGGAAAATTCGCTTCATGAAGATTGCTGCAAGAGCATTTTGTTGTAAAACAAGTATTTGGGATATAAACAGTTAAGGTAAGGGTATGCCGTTAAATAACGAATCTTTTTTAAATAAGGTACTTCAAAAATCTATCTGTTTTTATCACAAATACTTTTACAGGAAAATTCTCTGGCAGTTATTTTTTATGCGGCGAATTTTCCTAGAACTTCTAAAAATAAGGTCTCGTTAAATATCAAAGGTTTCTGGTAAAAAGCCCTGTTCAGAGTAAAAAGGCCTCATAAAAATATCGCAACTCTTCAACGGAAATCAAATAGATATAACTCAAAATAGCAGATATCAGGATAACACTTTCAAATAGTACTCGTACCTGATGGGAGTTGTTTTGGCACATTTTTTCGTTTCACTTTTGCTGGTTTTTTGAAAATTTGCTTCTTTTTTTGTGTTTGTTCTGTTTTCATTTGTTCTTTCAGCTGTAAAAAATCAGCGATTTAAACAAAAAATTATTTACTTGTTAAACTGGCCAGAACAAACCTATTTTTAATAGCGACCACTATGTTAGGTTAGAAAAGCTATGTTAGGTCAGTGAAATAAACTGAAAAAGATGGGGAGTAACCTAGCCCTAAACTTTATGAAGAATAAAATATGGTTTTCATATCAAAGCCATTATGATGGCATAATCATATAACAAACCCAGGCCGCAAGGTGGGGGAAAGCTTTAACCGACCAGCAGTTACATGAACACACTTCACATGCCCTCCAATAACCCTTTTTGTATAAGTTCAGCATAATCAACTACGAAGCGATGACTGATTAATTGTTAAACATAAATTACATCTGTACATCATTTCATGAAATGAAACTGTTCAGCCAGTTTGTCTTTTTACTTCGTTCAGCAAAATGTTATATTGGAACAAACAAGGCTAAATCTGAGCATATTTTTGTGTACCAGTGTTCAATGAAGCGTGATTTGTCAGAATAATCGAAGTATATTTTGAGCACAAATGTTTAATGAAGTGTGACTAGTTAGCACAATCAAAGAATGAGTGAAAATATATAATTAATCCAGGACTAAGTTAGTATGATGTCGGAGAAACTAAGCTCTGTAAATAGTCTTGAGATTTCACGAAAATCTTTTACCTTTGAATTATCATTTTCTACAGTGGATTCTGGATTGCTGGCACTTGTTCTGCTGCGTTTATAATACCTGAAATAAAAGAATTCAGTAATATGGGATATCAGACAAATTTTTTTGGCAAATCGTCACTGAACTAAGATTGAAAAAGAACTAATTAGAAAGTTACAAGCTACCATGAATAAGCAAAGAGCTGTATATAAGTATGGTTTTATTGCCAATTTAAAAAAAGATTGTTATATTCAACATGGATAATTGTAAATTTTCACTTTTGACATTTTTAGCAAAGAAAATACCATACGGGTTGCAGGGGTTAAGAATTCCTTGCTAAAAGAAACATCAAATCATAAAAGTAAATTGAACTAAATTTTTAGTGCAATTTAGCAGTTTTGTCTGGAAAAATAAAATCAAAAATGATAATGAACTAGAATTGAAAGCAAAGAAATATTCTCACCTATAACTTATAAAAGAAAGAATACAAAGCACATTAAAAAACAGCGCAGACAAACTAATCGTTACAACTTCCATCTTTGATTCAAAAATTGTTTTGCTCAAATATTGAAACGGATAAACTTCTATGTTATTATTAGCTCTGTAAAATGAAAAGATAAATTACTAAATTATAATAGAATGAAGCGCGAATGAAGGCTGGATGAATCCCAAGTAAAATTCTGGCTCTGTCTGTGGAGGGGACCTTTGCTCATTCAGTAAAGTCTGAAAGTATTAAAAAAACATCCAACTTCAGAACTTTGTAAATAGTCTACTTAAATACTGGCTTTACCAGTATACGGGCATATGAATTCCTGTTCTGCTAGCTTTCAGGCTTTTGGTATCCATACCGGTACTGCAGTGTGGTACTGTCATAACAGCATAAACAGTGCAAATGATCAATCACTGCAATCATTCTGCATTTAAGTTGGGGCATCTGCAGTTCTGCCTCTAGCATTTCATGCCATGAAGTGTACGGTTAAATTTCAATCGCAAATCACGACATCTGCAGCGGTTCAACAAGACATGTCAGCATGTACGGTGCCAGAACAGAACGGTACCGGACCAGCAGACCAGTGAACATGACCGAGCGAGGCTGCACGTCTTTTGATTAGGTATCACCTCTCACGAAATTTTCATACTGCGAATTCATCACTTCCCTGTCAGCTTTCTTGAAGATAAATACTGAAATCTTGTTCTATTTATAAACACATTTCTTTCACTGAATAGTTGAAAGGGTTCAAAGTTCTGTTTGCGATACCAGAGTTTCGCAAACATTTGACGCCAGTCGCCGATGAATAGGCGAACTTTGGACCAAAATACTTTGTTACGTTATTTATACGATTTTGGGGCCCTCATGTGGTGAATAAGAGCAGGGTTTTACATTTTTACATATGCGGTGTTTACACCAAATAAGAAGGGGAACAAAAAACGACTTTAGGATAAGATTTACATATTTATCCGAGAAGAAAAGGAAGCCTATAGTAGATCTTAATCATATGGTGAACCGCGGCCTCTCGTCCCGTTACCAGTCCATGTTGGACATGGGATTATTTAGCCAGGTATTGGACTCGACGCGAACATTTTTTTTTAATCGAGGTTTTTATAAAATAAAACAACATTGCAATAAACAATATTCATCAATAACAATAATTCATCATAATAGACACATATTGCATTATCACTCGGATTATATTACAAGAATTCTCCATTTTTTGTTATGTTTGGCAATTTTTCGCTTTTTCAGTGCTAATTCTCTTTCGTTCTCTCGGATAGTTTCAATCGATTTAAAAAAATATTTGAACAATTGCTTTCTTTTACCATTTTTACACTTATTTGTAGAGGAAGCCATAACCGACCAGCGGCAAAGTGAATCACCCTACGACACGAAGGAGTCCAGAAATCTTCTCGCACATATTTACATATTTATAGGTGCTGTGGCGAACGCATTTCTAACGCTTAGCACGATGCGCCACACTGTCGAGCTGAGCACTGTATAATATCACGGGCCATGGCTTCTCACCAGGTAAATGATTAAGCTTATTGAGCACAAAATGGACCTAGTTTTGTTATCACGTTGTTATTGTTAAAAATCACTTTCTTCTCCACCTGCTGGTTTGAGTATGAAAATACCTAAACAGATAGCGGTACTAGCAAAAGGATTGCTGAAATCATTGTCGTCGAAGGTTGTTTTACGTAACCTCTGATCGCAAGATCAAGCTCAAGTGTCTGAGACAAATAACTGGTTACCGAACGTGGGCTGCTAACTAGACGTTAGGCCGTTTGCGATCTGATTTCTCTGTCTATTCGTATCTCCTCTCGCGAGCAATTTTATCGCGCATATAGACGTCTCCCACCGAATTCGGATACATGAACTCATACAAAGCAATCAGCGTCGAGATGTCAATGGTTTGTTGAACAATAAATGTACATATGGATCGTTTTTATTATTATTTTGTTGTTATTGTTATTGTTCGTATTTTTCTTCTTTTTAACGTTATGAAAAAACGATCTCTCTTTAATTACTGGGCCAATAGCTGGGCCAAATTTTTAGCCGTTGAAGATTGTATTTTTTGCTAGAAGGCTATTACTTTCATTAATTTCAAAAACTTCAGCGAGCCGCATTGGATTCGTTTTTTTTGCGTGCCATGGCGTCATCAAAAGTTGTAAAGTTGTCACCGCAAACGTTGCATCAACACACCAGAACTTCGTCCAAGGGGAAAAAAAGAAAAACAGGTGGCAAAAAACGGAAGGGGGCGAACTGAAGTGAATATTTAAGTATAAACAGCGGTGTCATTATATGTACCGTATTTCCCGGCGAATAAGTCTAGACCCAAATTTTTGGCATGATTTTGGGGGGTCGTCTTCTTAGGCGAGTAGGATAATTTTTCTGGTGTCTCCTTATTATTCAACTCGTACCATAAAATACCAAATAGTAGCATGCCCACGTTTTCATCATTGCCGTTTTGTTTTAGATTGGTAATGTTCTTATATGGTGCACGCAATCGCGAGTTAGGTTGAACATAATTAGATTGAAACTGAAAGACAGTTTGAATTCTCGTAGTTGTTATGGATTGAATATTACTCTACAAGAAAAATCATTATAGGCTATTTTAACCAATGCGCAAACGCGGCAACCGCTCAAAAGCCTCTGCATGATAATTTGAGATTTCGATGTTGATGCGATTTTACTACTCGTCTTATTTTCAGGTTATATGCGAAAAGCCATTTTTTCAGGCTTAAAACAGGCCTCGTCTTATTGACCGCGTAGACTTATTCGCCGGGAAATACGGTATATAAAATATAACGGGAACAAATGGCAAATCGTAAAAATTTTGTAATTTTCGATCAGAAGCTATGAATATTTTTATTAAAATACTTAACCACGCGCCGCTTACAGGAACTGATAGCAGTTTTCAGCCCAGCCTATCGCAGATTATTCGGGACTAATTTTTGATTATTGCAAGTCAACTAAACTAAAGATTTTTCGAAGACAAAAAGACATATAAGTTATTTGATTTGCAAATAATTTTTGAAATCTCAACTAGAAACTGACAAATGACACACTAAACCGCAAACACGAGTCAAGTTTACAATTATGCCTCGATATCTGTATGATCGAAAGAAGTGTCTGAGCGACATAACAAATTGGCATTGTTACATCATTGTTGACTTATTGCTGATTGGCCATTTTTACAGAAATAGACCAGAAAATGGATGCTCGGGAAAACATCCAAGCATCAGCGTCAGTTTGAATAAAGTTGATATTAAACCTTTCATCCTCAACCAAGGAGTCACAACTGTAGGGTTGTAAGTTTCAGAATTTTGAATCGAAGCGATTCGAATCAGACTTAATTCGAATCGATTCGAAGCAATTAAAGAAAAAACGGCTTGATTCTATTTAAAAAAAAAGATAATTTAGATAACACGCGGCGATTGCACGATGCGGCAACGAGTCTCAACATCGACCAAAAGAGTTTGTTATGCTTGCGTTTAAAGCGTAAAGCGCCACTTACAATTTTGATAGTTTGCCTGCAGGTTGCCGACCCCTTTCAATATTGTGTTAATAATAAGATTTAATTTAATATTGCGTATTTTAATAGTATGTATATATGTACAGGCGGCGCAACCTAAACGATGTCAAACGCTGCTTCGAAATTGATCAAACAACTTGAATAAACTTTCGAAGCGAATAAACCTGTTCGTTTATAGCAGGGGTTCCCAAACCACGGCCCGCGGCCCAAATCCGGCCCGCGTAACGATTTAAAATGCCCGCCGAGCTTACGTGAAATAGTGTTCAATAGATTTCATTTCTACCTTTTTGCGATCTAGATACCGCTAATTTATGTCATTATCAGAGTTCAAGCACGTGTTTATCGTAACAATTATACCAGTATATCAATTATGGGTACCGGTGTTAGGACTACAAAGGACAGTAATTTAGTTATCAGCCATATAGGAAAGCTTAAAGAAGTCAGAAATCAAACGAAAACTAGACTTAGAAAACTGACGTTTCTTGAATAAATGGCAGTGCTCGTATTTCTTCATTGAAAAGTATCAAACTCTAGAGATTTGTCTACTTTGCCAACGAACTATTCCAGTTTGGCAGGAATACAACATTGAGCGCTATTATGAGTCAAACGAGCATGTTTGGGCGCACCACTTTTGGGCACTACATTCTTCCGGCCCGCGAACATCTTTCCGATTCTAATTTTGGATCGCGGCCAATAAAGTTTGGGAACCCCTGGTTTACAGGAATAAGATCTCGAGATACTCTGTAACCTTGTTTACAGTTGCCTTTGATTTTTTATATTTTACTAGATGATCCAAATCGGCGAGAGGACAGTATTTTTATTTTGATACTCCATTTTTAATTAGTGCTCACGAACCCCCTGAATCTAACCGTTGATTACCCTTCCCTAGTCAGTCACGGTTTTAATTTGTTGGTTCTGGCACAAGGCCTATTGTTTACCGCATTTGCTCTTGTAATACTGTAAATATTGTTCACAAAATGAGCCTTGTTACGTCACACTTACGAAACTGACTAAATACTATTCAGTACAAATGGTAATTTTCAGAAAACATTATATTTCTCACGGTACAACGGATACCATTAACGTTAATGGTACGAAAACACAAAGGAATAAAAGTAAGAAAAAAGACTGCAGATGTGTAAAGTATATCTGAAAATACATAAAATTAGATAAAAGTCGAAATAAAACCATAAATATAAGAAGAAAATAGGTAAAATCAAGTCAGGAAAACAATAAAAGCGAGAAAGTTTAAAAAATGATAAAACATTGCTAATAAAACACAATAAAATTATCACAATGATAAATTTACTCAAAATTGTTATCAGAGTCGGATAAGCTGGCTTTCCAGTGACATCTTAAAAATTAACAAGTTGGATCAACATCCACGCAATGGTAAGACTTTTATCTACATATTTCTACTTTGAATAATTATTGTATTTTGCTAACTAAACGGCCAAAATAGTATCAGTTTTGGTTTTAAAAATCATGTATCTAAATTTAGATTTCAGCGTCATCCTGATATGTTGCGGCTGAGGATTCGATAAGGTACCTTGAAAAATATTAAAAAAGAAATAAATTCTACCGTCGGGAAAAGACTAAATGGCGGGAATAATTTAAAATTTTTAACTGATTTTGTAACAAAAATAACTAATTTCTGAGTTTGCATTGAATTTCGGTGACAAACGGTGAATTTCGGTGACAAACGGTGACAAAATCAATCAAGTGGTATATAAATTTTACAGGAAATAAAATATGGATGAAATAAATCAGATTGCTCTGCAAAACGTCTTGAATGTATAATTATTTGTACAGTACACAGAACAAAAACAAAATTTGATATCGAGGACATTTTAGCAATCTATGGTTATTATTTTACACTAGGTGGCGGTAGAATTTAGGCGGGAAGATTTCGCTTCTTTCTAGCAAGGACGAGGCAAAGGGCGCAGATGGAGAATAAGACTAAAACAACGAAATTGGCAAGGGACACCAGGACTAGTTGAAGATCATGAGATGCGGTGTCTGGTAATGGTGATCCGGTTGTCGTCAGATCTAAAATAATAAGGATCGGTTAAGTAACCGGTAAATGGATGCTTCCGTGATCATTACTTATAGATCTCGATCGTTAAGTATGTTGATAGATATTTGTCCGTTTGTCTGTTAGATACTTTCGTATGTTACGCGATATCTCACGAAAGCGAGTTTGAATCGTCTCCAAATTTTGCATGTGCATTCATCATGTCTCTGACCATAAAGACGAGTAATACTGAGCGAGGGAAATGTCATAATACTCATAAAGACTTGGGGCAACGGCCTTGTGTCGGGAAAATAACATGCACTATTAACAATACGCGGTAAAGAATATTAAAATACACAGTAACTATCCTAATGTACTTGCTACAGTGACTTACCTTTACCTCCCAAGGAAATCAGCTCCCCAGATATGTAAACAGGTTGGTCTGGATCAGCGAGAGATTCCGAGAGTTTCTCTTTCTCGTTCTTGGTAAGAATAATCAAAGGTCCCACGCTGACAAGATTCTTATTTTCATCAGGGTTGCCAGATTCGACATCTCTCTTGCGACGACCAGTTGTTGCGCAGTTCTGTGAGAAGAAAATAAAATTTGATTACATACGATTAGGAAGACTTTTGCCTTTTGGTTTATAGATGTTTCAAAACTTTGCCCAAACAGGTCAGTACTCCTGTAATATGTGTACCAGGTTAGGGTTAGGCCATAATTTTATTCCAATTTTCCTTATTTTCGTTCTATTACGAGTTCGGGGACTGTTTGTGTTAGCCAAGTGAATATACCCCATGCCCATATGTTTCAGTCTCTTCACACAGCTTGCTGTGAAGTACTCGAACAAAATTTGTATACACACTTCTGGAGCGCCCAATGACGTTTATGCATCAGTATCATTTTTGCATGACGTAATACGACGCTCACTCTTTTAAAGTTAGGGACATGGCCCCTCGGGCCCCCCTTGTCAAGCCTATGATCTGGGCCTGTTTGTGTCTAATAATATAACTTACGGTAGGAAGTTTGCATGTTGCTTCCAACGTATTACAGACATCGACTTTGCAGGTATAGTAGACATATTGACTCTTCGATAACTTGAATGTACGAAACCAGACGGTGGCGCTAGAAGTCAGTGTTGTTCCGTGGATTTTAACGCCAACGCTCTTTTCAGGGCATCTAAAAAATAAGTGAATTGTTTGAAAGGATTTTAGCGTGCTTACAAAGTGGTTTAGTCGTATAGCAAACCGGGTGGCTACCAGCGAAATAGGTATGAGAACAGGTTATCACAGGTTTTCTCAAAATTATCTTTGACAGACGCCCATCCTATGTCATATCAATTTCTGTGCCTAATCAACGAGGAAGGATAGTAATACCTTCGACGAAATCAATCAATCAAATCGTTTTTATTAGCCATCTCGGCAAAGCATAACAAAATTGAAAACAAGTAAGATCACAAAAATATTTGTACCGGATGGCAGGTTAACCGCGAAATGACTTGTCAGTGGCAAACTTAAAATAGCTTAAAACTTAAATACAAAATTTGCAAAGCGCGAAACGTTTTTATGCGAGAACAGCATCGCCCCAAGATGACGCTGCAAGGCAATAATACACCTGTTATTTATAGAATTAGGGAATTCCCCCTATTTTATTTCGAGGCAGTGCTGAAATAAAACTCGTAAGTCTGAATCAATACATACTAACGTTAAATACTGGTAATCAGTAATTTATTTCTTCACCATACTGAAAATAATATCTACACCGAGTGCAAGTCAAGAAATATTCTTCATGAATCGATGTACATGTGGTGATAACGGGCTCGGTATCTCCACCCGCACGATGCGCGATAACAGCCACACTAGACAGCGTGGGGCAATGCATGAAATATAACTCAGTGTGTATGAATGGGTACTCCCGTAGTGTGTGTATCAGGTTGGGGCATAATTTAATTTCGATTTTCCCGATTGTAGTTCCATTACGAGTTCGAGAACTGTCTGTGTCAGCCAAGTGAATACCGGTTAAAAATCAGTTACCTCCATATTGGTATACATACTTCAGGAGCGTCCTGCCCCACTTTATATATTCAATACTTACCCTTGCTTAACCAAATCCAATTTTCCTGTCAAAGAGTTAAGACTGGGTGTTGCGTAACAATCGATTATCTTCAGCACCAAATTCCCGGATGTAGGCTTATTCGAAATCTCGAGTTCTGCAGTGAGATAGACGGTCTGGCCAACCTGTAAAATAATTTTTGAATATATATAATGATTTCGGAAGAGAGGAAAGCCGATAAGATGACGTAACAGCTAATAATGTCAATTATGACTGTCGGAGTAAGGTGAACGGCTATGCGAACTGGAGGGAAACGTCGATAAAGTGACGTAATAGCAACGTCGATATGGTGACGTAATAGTTACATCACTGAATAGAATACATCACTATATGGGAAAGCTGTAGTCAGCGGATTTGTGAATCACCCTTCACTACAGCCAGTGATGGGCGCTCCAGAAGTGTGTGTATCAACATGGAGGTAGCTAATTTCGTTCGCCTACTTTACATCAAGTTGTGTAATAAGACTGAAACCTATGGACAGGGGGTATATTCACTTGACTAACACAGACAGTTCCCGCACTCGTAATAGAACTAAAATAAGGAAAATCTGAATCAAATCATGCCAAACCTCCCCAACCCCTACAGAACGAAAGTTACACTAGCAAATACAAACCGTGTAAACAGATCCGCCAGTAAGCTTCTGTCTATCTGCGGCGCCAGGAGCTTTCTTGTACGCATTCATGATGACTTTGAATTTGCCTGAGTTTGTGATGACTGGCATGGCATTGGCGGGTGGGAGCCTGTGAATAGAAGTGATATAAGGAGGTTACTGTAGGTAGTTTTTCCGAATACGGATCTAGACAAGTATCCATTCATATGTGAGCAATGTCACGTTTGTAGAGAGCCTAGTCCTGACATAGGATAGAATAGGATTTACATATTTATCCCGGAGGAGAGGAAAGCCAATAAGACAGCTTATCCATATGGCAAACCACGGCCTCTCGTCCGGTTACCATTCCAAGTCGGGTATGGGATTAGTAATATTGTTTGTTTTCGGAAGCATGGACTTGGTGGTGGAGGAAGCCGTAGCCGTAACCGAACAGCGGTTACCTGAACCACCCAACGACGGCGAGGAATCCAGCAATCCTCTCGCCCATAACCATCCCTGCATGGGATTCGAACCTGCGAACCCACGCAGAGTAATTAGAGGTGCGGTGGTGAGCGTATTCCTAACGCTTAGCCCGTTGAGCCACACCGCCGCGCCGATGTAGACAAGTATTCATATATGTGAGCAATGCCACGTTTGTGGAGAGCCCAGTCCTGACATGGGCAAACTACAACCCGCGGGCCAGATCCGGCCCAATGGGTAATTCAATCTGGCCCACTTTATGCGGCCACAACAAAACTAAAACCAAATTTTGATGATCTTACCTTAAGGAATTTGTTAAGATTGAAATTAAATTTAGTTATGGCACGAGGCTTATTGTTTTCCACTGTTGCTTTGTAACACTGTAAATATTGTTCATGAAATGTAACTTTTCACGCCGCACTTACATGGCCCGCCAGTTTGCCATTACGTCCTGAGACTTTTAATTTGAGTCGCTTTGAGAAAAGTTGTAAAAATATTTACTTACGCTGGTTGTATCGAAGTACTGATAACCGTCTGACTTCCACCATACGTGCATTTGAACTGCAGAACTGGTACCGGCATGTCAATCACATTGCTCTTACGATTCATCCATACATTGTTGGTGTACTCAAACCCTCCTGGAATATGATCAGTGGTGTTGGTCGGAGGAAAGTTAAATTAGCTCCGGATACAGTATACTCGGATCCGGTATGCTCCCTAGCTTTTCATTATGGAGAGGGGGGGACCAAAATTAGGGAATGGTAGATATTTTGCTATTACTATTGGTAACTTCCATAAATCTGTTATGTATCATCCACCCGACTATCTGCCCTGGTGAATACAAGTCACGCAGTTTTATAAGCCAATAATTTTTACTCGGAACATTAATCGGTGAATAACAATTTCTTTTTTGTTTTTATATCCATTAATACACGAACGAGTTACCGGATACAGCGCCAGAATCCCGATAACCCGGGAAAAGACTCCTTCCGAATTCAAATAAAATTCCCGAATTTAGTGGCGATACAAAGAAACGCCTACTTCCAACACAGAGTTATAATACATACCCCGTTCATACAACACCCTAATCCGTAACGCAGTAATAAAAGAAAAGTAGCTAAAACAGCCTAGAATAAATGCCCGCGAGATGGCGCCAAATTTTGACCACGCCTACTTACCAGTGATGGTATTTTTCTTTGTTCCACATGTTGAAAATGGCGCCGGAATCTTCAGAACATATTTCTTTGAACCAGAATCATAGACTGCTACACAACTAAAATATAAATAATAGAAATTAACATCGACTTGTTCAGAACCTGTTTCCGAGCCAAATAATCTATGACAGTGGTTATCAAACGGTGAGGCACGCCACACGAGGGCGTAAACAATTTTTTGAGGGGACGTGAAGCTAATTAAAAAAAATTGTTAAATTCGATCTTGTCCCCCCCTCATTCTGTCGACCCGCAAACTCTCTCCCCCCCCCCCTGGCTACGCCACTGATTAGGAATTCCCCCTCCTCCCTTTTGAAAAATTCCTAGTTACGCCTCTGGCATCCATTCAAGCTTTTTCACACTTACTTACCTATGAGTGTTTCCAGCCGTAGGAGAGAAATACACAATCGCTCCTTTTACCCCAGATTCATACGCTTTGACGACAGATTCGGGAATCTTCACTTCAATGACCGTAGGTCCGCATGATATATCGGCAGGTGCTGTAAAAAAAAATCGAATAAATTAATTTAGAAACTAGGTACCACATTTCCAGCATTTCCCGAATTGGGAAAAATTAATTTCAGGATTGGACAAATAGTAGAAACAACGTTATACTCAGTAAGGAAGGCAAATAAAAAGATCCAGAATAGGAACCTATCAAAATAGGTTTAAAACCGTTGGTATATACAGGGTACAAAAGTTACGAAAAATTGAGGTCAAATTTTTGTCATGGCAACGTTAAAAAAGTAACTGTTAAAAAGCGTCAGTCATAAAATGTTTCAATGACATTTCACCGTAATTCAATACAGTTAAAGTGTCAGTCGTTGAATGTTTCAAGTAGCATTTCATCTTAACTTCTCTTGATTTTGCGTTGGTTTTTTAACACCCTGTATATGTAATTTGAATCACAAAGAATTTCATTCGCATGTCATATCAATCAACTGTAACATATATTGGTGTTGCACCGCTAAATTCCAATCCAACACTTCGTGTATTTCAACATCTCCCTACGGACTCTAGTCAAATAAGTGTTAAAAATGTACTCTTGTAGTACGTGTACCAGGTTAGGGTTAGGACATAATTTTTTTCCTTTTTTTAATTCTATTATGAGTTCGGGGACTGTCTGTGTTAGCCAAGTAAATATACCCTCTGCCCATAGGTTTCAGTCCCTTTATACAACTTGATGTAAAATAGGCGAACAGAATTAGTTACCTCCATATTGGTATACACACTTCTGGTGCGCCGTCAAAACCAGTGAACGTATTTTTGAGAGTTTTTTGCATAATAGGGGAACATGGGCCAACCTTGCAAGAGGCATTTAGGCATAATTTTAAACATTTTACATTCGGATCTTTTGTACAAAGCCACCAGCCCAAGAAAAAACGCCCAAAATAATAAAACGAGAATATCGTTCGGAGACCGAAGACTTATCGATCAAAGGTTAGGGGATCCCCAAAAACAGCGCTCTTACTCCATTGTGACACCGTGTGTCCCATCACTAATTAATTAATAACTAATTATACGACATAATTCGTCGAAAATCAATAGGCTTCTGGTTCCAGATATGAATGAACATGCAAAATTTCGAGCAGATTCAACCTCGCTTTCGTGAGATATCGCGTGCATTTAACAGACAGACAAACAAACAAACAGACAAATACCCATCAACACACTTACCGATTTTAAGATGGATTAAGTAAATACTAATTATCCAGTTGGAGTTAGGATTGCAGATCGTGCTAAAAATTCAACTTTTTATATCATTCCTAACCCGAACTCTAACTGGATAATTAGTAATTACTTATCGATCTTAAGATCGGTAAGTATGTTGATAGGTATTTGTCTGTTTGTCTGTCTGTTAGATGCACGCGATATCTCACGAAAGCGAGGTTGAATCTGCTCCCATTTTTGCATGTGCATTCATCATATCGCGGACCAGAAGCGTATTGATTTTGGATGAATTACGTCGTATAATTACCTAGTTATTGATTAATTAGTGATGGGACACGCGGTGTCACTATAGAGTCATAAATCGAAACCGCAGTTTCGATCGATAAATCTTCGGTCTCCAACCGATATTCTCGTTTGTAATTTTAATACCTGGCGGGATGTTTTTCTCAAATCTCGCATTTCAAGGGGCTCCCGAAGTATGCGAACCGAGATGGCGGACATCGGAATGTAATATGTGTACTAGGTTAGGGTTAGGCCATAATTTTAGGTATAAATACTACGGGAGGCTCTTGGCTAGTCTTCGAACTGATAATAGGACTAAAATAAGGAAGATTGGAAAAAAATTAGCGCCTAACCCTAACCTGTTACGTTCCGATGTCCGCCATCTTGGTTCGCATACTTCAGGAACACCCATTTCAAAATTCATAGCGGGGTTTTGTACAAAAGATCCACGGAATCTTTCGCGTTCGGCGTTATCAATTTATTTACCTTGTCACATTTGGGAGCGGAAAGGTTTACATCGAAATTTTGTTCTAAATAACGTTTTTTTCAATACAACTAATTTAATGCTAATTGAATTAAAGGAATACTTGTTCGATCATTACGAAATAATACATAGACATTACGTAATAATGCTAACAGATTGTTGAAGGAAAGCTTATACACTCGGGAATAAGGTACATAGTTTCGTTCGTCATTTTGACAGCGGAGCAAAAATTTCGATGGATAGTGGCGTTTTTGTTGGACTATTCTTGCAATGTAATGATCGACATGGAATAATGTAGAGTTATCCAACGGAGGCAATTATTTTTATTTTTTTTTTGAGGGGGGAAGGGGGGAGCATTACTTGTAGTGTAGTTTGACAGCAAATTAGGCAATTTGCCAATCAGTAGCGTTTTCTGAAACATGACTTAATGATTGCCCTGGATATCACAAGATTCCTCGCACAATAACCACTCATAAAGGAATGACATGTGACGTCATCAACAATATCTATGACGTAATACTCGATACATAAAAATGCGCATGTAACACTCAGTACCAAAGTGAGACCGGATAAACACAATATTTCTTTGTTTTCCTATTTCTTCGCTGCGAACAAGACCCTACACCAGCAGCAGACCTAGATAGGAAGATCCTTGTCATTATAGATCAAGGGGTGGGCAAACTATGGCCCGCGGGCCAAATCCGGCCCGTTGGGTAATTCAATCTGGCCCGCCTGATGCTGCCACAACCAAACTAAAACCAAATTTTGATGTTTTAGCTGAAAAATAGTTCAAGGAATTTGTTTAAGATTGTGATTAAATTTAGCTTTGGCACGAGGATTATTGTTTTCCACTTTTGCTTTTGTAACACTGTAATTATTCTTCATAAAATGTAACTTTTTACGTCACACTTATATGGCCCGATAGTCTAGATGGGCGAAATTTTTGGCCCTTGGTTCAAAAACCTTGCCCACCTCTGTTATTTTTTATTTTTTTTTTATTTAAAAAGTGAAATAAAAAGCACTTCGCAAAATAGCATTTCGTGCTGAACAATGGAAAATCTGTCACTAAAATGTTGTTGAAAAAAAAAAAAACTTCACACTATTCAATGAATATATATATATGCTCTTTTATAGATATTGGTAAATGCTAGTTCGAAGCCTTAGTTAGAGGAGAAATGTGAATACTTTTATGTTGTCGTTGATATCGGGCGAACATTGCGTGTGAAAAGCTGATTGCCTCCTGAAATACACAAGGAGGCAAATGGCCTTTGCACAAACCATGATACCCTGAGATTGTTTTCCTGTCACTCACAATTATAAACCAATTTAAAACGAAGACAAAAAAACTTAGTTTCAATCTGAGCATGGGCCTACGCGTAAAAAATCTTTTTCGAGTCTCTGTTTACCTGTAGTATTATCTAACACTTTGTATAGAATAGTAGCCCATCCAAACCCGAAACATCTTTCCCGTGATAAAATATAGCCAAAACGCACTTTACAATTTATCACGAGTTCCTTATGCGAATGCGAACGTCAGTCAGTCTTCCTGTATTCGCTGTCGAAGCACACTTATTACTTATAAATGTATCAATATATTTATTTTGCTAAAGTTGCAGTTTTACATGACTAAATCCCACTCTGCATATATTCCCCTTGTGAAAAAATAACAATTATCCATGATCTCTTTCTCGGATTGCAACATAACTAGCCGAACGCGAATAAATTTGGTTACACAAGGTATGAGCCAAATTCTCCGAGTCGCTCTGAATTTTGAAGCCTATTTCCTAATGTATCGAAATATAGAGTGTTCATAAATTCGTAAAAATTTTTAAAATTGCAACGTAAATTTATCGATACCATATATTGCTTTGACCCTCACAGATGTATTGAATGAGGTAAAAAAAACTTGAACAATTACTGAATAAAAGACAACAAACCTGGTTAAGATATAGTGAGAACTAACTTCATAACAAAATTGAAATTGTGAAGAGATTGTATGGAAACTATAACCGCGCTTATTTGCCAAGTTGCAGTTTTACTATGACTAAGGCTCGCACTGTATTTTACTCCTTTTGTAAAGAAACCATTACAAAGGCTGATTCACTCGGAATATTAAATGCTTACTACAGATCACGAGGCCGTTTGCATAATATTCATTTATGTAGGAATATGACGTCACCAAAAACTAATGACGTAATGTCCAATATGTGACGCAATATTGAACGTACAAAATTTATAGGTAAATTTATAGGTGTATTCATATTCGAATATGACGTAATATTTCATACATGGTTTTACATTTAATACACCCAAATTACTGCATAGTGCTTTTTATTGCTAACTCAGTATCTTGAACGTTAAGAATTCTTCAGTTATTTAAAATTCCACTTCAAATAATTTCAAAGGCGCTCTGTATATTCAAACAAACAACGCATCAATGCAATGGCGTTACTAAATACAATATACCCTCGGCAATTCATTTAAAATCGGATTTCAGAAACCGTCTCAACCAATTTTTGGACTTCCAGTTGGGGGAGCACATACTATGTTCAGGTTGTGCATCAAGATGGCGCACAACCTGAACATAGTATGTGTATCAGGTTAGGGTTAAGGTTGTTCGTCATCTCGGTGCACATACTTCGGGAGCACCCATTTTTTTATTATTTGGAACTACAGAAGGAGACCCCAATCTGTAATGCAGTCGGTAAAACAGGGGTAGAAGAATATGCCGACGAAAACTCAAATTAAAAAAAAAAAAAACATTTCCAGAAATTGTTACCAAAGCCTATCTCATTTTTAATCCTAATGTGAATACTGACTTGCCTATCCGCTCCGAAAAAGAAGGACGTTCACTTTCCTTATCCCTTCTCAAAAATTCACCGATAGTAATATGAAATTACATTTATAAAAACAGCCGTAAAGTCAAACCTAACAGCCAACATTCACCAATAGAAAAGTAACGCAAAATCCTAGCCTGCCTGCTACCATATCCTAAGTAAGAAACATTACATTGGAAAATGTTTGTTAAAATAGGAGCCGGGCGATACGCCAGTTAACTTATATAAACCGGCCAAGCTCGAATCGATGGTGTTTTATTGTTCTACATATATAGCCCATGATTGGTTGACGATAACCTTTGAACCGGGAACAATTCAAAGAAGGCGGAAATAATAAACTGCTTATCGCAGCAACACGCAGTTGGCAATGTAGTGCGATTTTGGCGGGAGAAATTATTAACACTCTGGTGACGAGTGACGCAACGAATATCGAAAGAATATTTTTTAAATAGCGCGAAATACATATTTACATTAAATCGACTTTTAAGTTAATATTTCCAAGAGAAAAGTGAATTTGTAGGAATTTTCGGTTTTTACGGTACTTTTAGGCTGTTTTTAGTTTCCATCAGATCACGAATTATGAAATTAGAAACTAGATGAAATATATACCGATCAAAATGGAATGAGCAGAAACGAATAACCAGGATTCCAAAATACATTGAAAATATGTTAGCAGAAAAATTTCACAAAGAATCGTATTTAGTATGCAGGACACTTGGGGGTACTCCTGAAGTATGCGCACCAAGATGTCGCACAACCTGAACCCTAACCTTGTACAGAACCTGAGTTCAGGTTGTGCGCCATCTTGGTGCGCATATTTCAGGAGGTCCCTTTGGGGTATATTTTAACACCACAAGTATTTTTAGTGGGTGTGACTCAACAATTTTTAATATATCATTTCTAACCCCAACTTGACTACGTCATCCAACAATTACGTCACTATGACGTCACATTAACGAAATACGGCCCGCCAATATATACTGACCGTCGAACAAACGCGCAGACGATAGTAAAGCCAAACATTACTGTACGATTAATTTTCGTTTTCGCAGTTTCAGAAATAATTGAATCCAAATTTTGTCTGCCAATTTGATGTCAAATGCTTAAAACGACAAATTTGAAAAAAAATATCCAATTTTTTATCCAAAAACCAAGAATCCACTAAACCTAACTATTTTACTCGAATTTAACTATATTCGAACAATTTTGGACATCGCTCGAGTCCTACCAGTTTTCACATTATGAACGTTTGCAATACTCGACGCCAAACTTTTTTAGCGTACGAAGTTGCGATTCGATTAGGAAGCAATTGGAACCATAATAATTGATTTAAAAATTTCCAAGCATGGCCATAGATGAAACATCAAAATCAAGCACTGGCCATCTATGGTCAATGCGTACAAAACTAAAATATTTCTGGCGAAGTAGTCTAGTAATAGAACCCACACGCACAGCGATTTTAGGAGACGCAATTCTCAGAAGAATGCCATTTATGGCGGTGAGAAATAATTTAACCCAGAGGTTGCGAAATGAAGAAAAATATCGAGGGCGTCGTAAAATATCATTCATTTCATGAAATCATTTCTTTTCTGACGAGTCTGGTACTCCAGAGTGAAGGAGACTCATTTCTAAGCAAAATTACGGACGACCACTAAAACTATAGAGAATTATGCGCACTTACTCAGTAGTTAATGCTACGGGCACTCATTCCGATGTAAAGAAGACTCATCTCTGAGCAAAGTTACGGGCACATAACTAGAAGTAAAAGAGACTCATCTATGAGAAAAGTTACGGTCACTCACTCTTAGTTAAAGCAGACTCATCTCTGAGCGGAGTTAAGTTACGGACAGTCATTCAAAAGTAAAGGAAACTCATTTCTCTGCAAACTTACAGGACATAAAATGATAAAATCTGCTGAAACTAACTTTGAGAGTGAAGTACGGTTAGGTGCATGAAAAGTCACGTACAGCCACTAAAAGTGCTTCTGAAACCATTTAAATGATATTGGTACAAGGCCTCTCGTGCGGATACCAGACCATATTGGTTTAGGGGAAAGGCAACACAGCATATCTATAAACTAAATCGTATAAAAACTCGTAACAGACCAGCAGCGTGATCCAACGTTAGATACGTCAACCCGACTGCCCCTTTCCCACCCCCGACGGGAATCAAATCCACGCCATCGACTTAATTACTTACCAATATCACATAGTCTTCCAAGATTGGCTTTAGATCCAGAGCACAAGAAACCGCTTTCATGCCTCGCTGATAATTTGCATTGGCAGCCATTTAAGCAAGGGTTAGGAGTACATGGTGTCACCTGTAAAATACAGAAAATACATACATGACGTCACTTGCGTAACACAATATTTGATGACGTAACATGTGACGTCATATAGTGATCCTAATATAAACGCTGATACACATTCATAATATATGTTACAACAAAGTGAAAACTCGAATCTCGTCCTTTCGAATGTATTATAAAAGTTGCTGCCATGCAAAGGTTGTCATGCTGGGCTTAATTTGACTCGTTGTGTGACTCGGCCTTTGGCGGGGCCTGCTGGATGTTACGGTCTAACTCAGGGTAGTTCAAGGTTGTCAGATCCGCGGGCCACAAAATTATTTTTGCACTGCTCGCGGGCCACAATAGTGCCAACTGCCAAGAATAGATAAACAGTGCAATACAATACAAACACTTTTATTGTGCAAACACATACTTATCAGACATAGCCATCCCAGGCTAATAGAATCTGCATTCGATTTTTAGTTTTCTATTGTTAGCATATATTCCCAACCAAAAAGATAGAAAGCCAGATAATAATTTAGACTGCCAATCACATCATTCAACTTCGCTAGTTGCCTCAGCTAGCCATATCACTAGTCAATTCAGTGACATCAGTGATGTAACAATATGTAAAAAGATTTTTTCTGATTAATTTTATTACAAAACAACACGAAATGCTATTTTTTGATTACTCTCCGAATGTGACGCGGGCAACAGATAATGAAGCGGCGGGCCACATGTGGCCCGCGGGCCTGGGTTTGGACCACACTGATCTAACTTGGCAATTAGAAATTTTTCACCCCCCCCCTTTGTGAAAATTTCTGGCTGCGCTTCTGCGAACAGGCCGGGTCTAATTACCTATCTTGGGCATCTCCAAGACGAGTCTGCTTGCTGTGTATAAATACATTACTATGTTGTAGTTTTCCAACGCACCCAACTTAAATATTTATTTGTTATCTCACTATTCTGCATCATAACCATGCCGAATTCAACATCTTGAAACTGGTTTTTATAACGATAATACAGCTTTGCAATACTTCTTTTATTCCACTGATTCTGAAATTCGTTTGAGCTTAATTTGACTAACAAATGAATGCAATCCTCAACTGAACGCTTGTATATCGCGAATGGCACATATATCCGGAGTATATGATTCTGATTAATGTGAGGTTAGACCCAAGACACGTGGTATTGGCTTCTAGAAAAGATTCGAAATAAGCGCGAACGTGAACTCGCAGCTGCGAAACAATAAAAATACAAATCGTAGTTGAAAACCCATCTGGAAATTGAAGACGTAATAATAATTTTTCTGTTGGATTATAATTCAACATTACCAAATACGTATTTGTGACGCAATACCGATATTTCTGACGTCATATTTTAAAAATCGTGACGTTCGTGAATCTTATTTGATTGGTAAAAGGAGTGCCCCCAGCGTGACAAAAATTAAGCAGAAAAGTTTTCTTATTAAATAACTGTTCCTGCTAAAAATCTATCGTGTTTTTGACAATGTTTAATTGCCTGAAGCGTAATTTATAACGGAGTTAATCCATGTCGAAACGTAGATGTTTGTTTACGGTATCACAACGTAGCCTTTTTAGAGATTCGATTTAGACAAAAACCTTCTTAGAAAACGATATTTTTATCTCCACGAAATTTGAACTTGGGCAAAACTCAAACTGAAAAGCTCACCAGTGTTTCAAATGCAGCTATGATTAAACCAACAATTATAGCAAAAAACGTACATGCGCAGATAAACACCGCTTTGGAAACCCGTTTGAGACAATTTTTTTTTTTATCATTGCTTGATAATTGGGCGATAAATTAAGCGATAAATAGCCTCGTATTATGATCCAACTAGTAATATTACTAGGAAAATGCAGAGCATGTTTTTAGAAAAACCTCAAAGTAAGCTAAAGTTTGATGTTTTTTTTTATATTCAAACGATTATTATTATTTCGTTATATCATTCTTGCATTGAACACATACGGGACCAATCAGAGAATAAAATGTGATTCGTCTTACAGAAACCAAATTGATGACATTTTCTAATATTATTCAGAAATATGCTAATATTAGAAGCACAACACTTTCATCTTTGAAAACCCGATCATGCGGAAAAAATCAAAGTTGATCAAAGAACATGGACAATTAAATAATAATTAATATAAAAGACAGTTCGTTCCGCTATCATGTCAAAAAGGTGCCAAAAAAATTTCCACGCGCAAAAAATACGGCCAAAATGTTTAAGCCATTGAAAAATTTTCAACGAAATATTCAAACTAAATTTCAGCCATTTTAAGGGTGGATCTTCTTTGGCGGAAATATTAACGGACACAGTCGGGACCGCTCATTGGATAACATCTACCGCAGCGACCAATCGCAATTTTTACACGTCCATGTAAATTAAATTCAAATTAAAAAAATTCCATTCCAGGTTTTGATTATGACTCAATAAATAAATTACGTCAATACCTTATTATGACCTATCAATGAAAAATCTATAAAAACAATGATTTTCTTACTCATGTATTGTTATGAAACAAAGTATAGAAAATATCTCGTAAATATAATCAGACTATTCACGCGTACGGAATGCAAGACTACTCAGCGAACGATGACACATTAAACAAAAATATTGCTACAATTTTTTTGACACGACGCCCTTTGCCTCGAACGTGGAACTGCTAGAACAGGAACTTTTTTCCCATTCGGCATTAATTTTTTTCCCATTCGGCATTAACTCCCCCAATTATCACGCAGTGGGTAAGATGGTGAACATGGGGTTGAACTCTGAACCAGAGACCTGCGACGGCAACACAGTTAAGAATAATGCTTTAACCCAGGGCTCCTCAACGTGACCCAGGTGGACGCTAAGTTGTCATAGCACCCCCTCCTGGCTGTCCAAAATTGAATAGGGTAATAATACCGAGTATGCTAAAATTGAATAGTTCTATTAAGACAGCATGTGATTTAACTTGGATAGTTCCAATACACACTTAGGGGTCCATATGACTTTGAATAAAAATTTAGTGGTGAACAGCGAAAAAAGGTTGTGAAGTCTTAGTTCAACCGTTAGGCAGACGTCTTGTGGCGGCTGCAAAGTTTTGGTATCTACCATTTCACAAGCACTCGTCTCGCAAGACTTTAAGAATAACATAAATGAGAAAATAAATAGCTGGTATTAGGTTCCCATGACCACCACCTATCCGAATCGGAAAATTTTAATCTTTGCAAACATATAATTCACTGCGTATTTCCTAAAAATATACATTGCTTTCATTATCGCCAATTATTTATTCCTTTCATACTACACTATTCTAATTATAATTTTCTTGCATTTTTGGCAGGGGTGTGCAACTTGCGGCCGCGGGCCAAATGCGGCCCACGAGGAAAACTAATGCGGCTCGCGGAGAAGCGCCACTTTTGAATAGTGGCGGCCCGCAAAACGAGTTTTTGATTTAATCTAGGATGTGCGAGCAATTCCAAATGATTTGCGTTGCCATGCCTTTTTCTGAGCTTGCGCAGAGCGAACAACGCACGTCACAAGATCAATAACCAAAACGTTTGTGTCTGCAGCTACTAGAAAGCCTATGCTGAGTAAAAGTGCGGCCGCGGTTTCATCCTGTTATATCAATCTGGTTCTCCTGTATTGAAGGTTACACACTCCTGCTCTATTGCAACGATCAATATATCCACCAAATATAGACTGTACCTAAAATTACGCAATAGGCCACACATACCCGATCACACATAATTAACTTAACACCACAAGGTTGTTCGTAACCTTGAAAACCGTTGACTAACTCCCTCGTGTAGTTAGCGATTACTTGTCTAGACAACTCCCTTGGCGATAGGTGATATGGAACATGTGTTTTGATAAATTCTTCAATAACTTTCAGATAGAATTTTCGTATTTCGGCCTCCCAATCGAATCTAACATGAAGCCTGGGGCTTTGACAGTTCATCCCCCCAAGCGCCAGCTAAGTATTAGAAGAACGATTTTTTTTTCAGGGCTTTATGCCGTCATGTATACGTCACTGGACTACTGTATGGCAAGTAGAAAGTAGCTCTTTCTAATGGTAAGTAATTCAAAGCAGAGTTGAATAAAGCGGAAAGTCGCCATGTCAAACATTTCCTCGTCTTGTTAGATTATGTTTGCATTCAGTTAACGTAGGGTAGACACTGTTGAAAAAATCGTTGAAAAAGGGCATTTATAATGAAAATGAAACACAAACTAACTTAATTTAATCGCCGCTAAAGAAAATATCCATTAAGATCTCTAAGCCCAACCTCTTTGACTTGTTGCATCAGATTATATACGACTTGTTTATCTTTCAGAAAATTACAAATTACAACGCGATAAAGATTCACATAATCGACTTAAAAACCGGTTGAAAAGCCGGTATGTTTTGTTACCGAAATTAGACACCGGTCGTTCATTGTTTGTGGCAAAATAAGCAACAGTTACGGGCGAGATGAGAAAAAAAGTTTGTTAACGAGTTTCACGGTTTCCTGGTAATATACACAGAACATTCTGAAACAAGTTCATGATTGACATTATGGAAAGGATCAGATTAAAAAATCGATTCATAGTTAGGTTTCGCTGCTTTTGCAGGCTAGGGTCCGAATAACTGAATTATTCTATAATATGAACAAATGATCTTTAACAATGACAGTAGTAATTTGAATGTCTGGTTTGAATGTCTGGATTTTTTCCGAGTAATAATTCTATACAAGAAATATGAAACAAGTCTACGATTGACATTATGGAAAGAATCAGATAAAGAATCAGATAAAAAAAATTGGGACCTCCTGAAGTATGCGCACCAAGATGGCGCACAACCTGAACTCAGGTTGTGTACCAGGTCAGGGTTCAGGTTGTGTGACATCTTGGTGCGCATACTTCAAAAGTATCAAAAATTGATTCATAGCGAGGTTAGGTTTCGCTGCTTTTGCAGGCTCGGCTCGGCTCAAATTGATGAATTTTATAACAAAAACAGCAGTAATTTAAATGTCTGAATTTTTTGAAC